TTTTTTTTTTTTTGGCAGCTCTGTGTGGAGGTTACATTCGTGGTTCCAGTGGTACCATCTTATCCCCAGGCTTCCCTGATTTTTATCCCAATAACTTGAACTGCACGTGGACAATAGAAACATCACATGGAAAAGGTGAGAAACGTTTAGCTTAGAGTGGTTTTAGAGATGGACTGGAGGATGGTGGTCAGTGGGGGATGCAAGTGCTCCCTGTGTCAACCAAGAGTTTGTCTCCAAGGCGGTGATGATGGGTACCCATGTGCTTGGCCAGTTGCCATTCTTGCCACCACTCAAACATGGTCTCTGGACAAGATGCAGAGGTTTTTGGTGTCACATCTCTTAATCCCTTTATGGTGGAGCGAATTAAGAGGGAAAGATGGTCCCATATCAAACCCCCCCCGATCTGAGAGCCTGCGCCAGGTTTCAGATCTTTGTGGCAGTATCCTCTGGAAAGTTAGCTGGTGTTTGGACACCTGGTATTGCTAGTAATGTCACATGGAGGAAGGGCGAGCTGCCACTGACACCACTGCAGGAATATTTGGTACTCGATAGTACTTTCAGCCTTATTTTTCTTTGTAGTGCTGGATCACTATCTATATAACGTTTTACAGATTGAGAAGTGGGAGCTTGTAGTAAACCATTTCCAGACATGGGACAGAACTCGGGCTCTCAGTTCCCAGCTCTGTCCTAGTTCTGCAGCTCTCACTTCCCCACTAGCTAGGAGTATTGCCAGCACAGAGGCAAAGCACAGATCTATTTAGTCCAGTCTCCTGCGCAGCACGGGTCAATCTTTTGTCTTGGAGGAAAATTCCAAGCAAATGTATCATTGACGATTAGAGAGCAAGTTTTATGTACAAGGGCGGGAGGTAATTTCTCCTGATCCAGTCAGTATTGCCTGGGGTAAGCACAAAGGGTATAAACCCTTTATGTAACTTTATGCACTCTTGTATAACTGTCTCATCGTACCAGATATCAGCACGACGGGAGCTATCATGAGCCAATTTTGCAAATACCATTTGTATTACAGCAAATAAACTTGTCAATGAACAGCACAGTGCATTAAGGGAACCATCACATGCTGTGAAAAGTATTCTGTTGAGTAGCAGCAATCCACTCTTCATTAATCCACTCTGCCTTGGATTCAGCTCTCTGATGAGACGCAGCATTATCCTGTAGCTAAGCTAAGCACAGCACAGCAAACTGACACTCTTTTATATGAGAAAGTGCAACTCTGATGGCCTGTGTGCTTTTATGCCAACACCAGAAGAAAGTCTTCCGACGGAACTAAGCAATGCTCGAAAAAACGGAGTATTTTCAAATAGTAGGGATATGTCTACATAAGTCTAGGGGCTTTTTCCTCCCCTGTCCTGTAAAAGATCCTGCTGTCGCCAATTCAGTAGTACAGGAAACAGCACATCCCTTACATCAGTTCAGTGTGATGCAGTTCTGGATCATCCAAAGAATTCAGCCCTGGATCTGACCATCTTGAACCGGACCATGTTTGTCGCACTAAGAGAAGCTGGATGTTGAGCTCTCTGGAAAGCTGGTCCTAGCTTTAGCGGTCTGAAGCCTGTGAGCTTCTTTGGAAATTCTAGCCTTAGCTGCAGGTAATGAATATTAGAAAACCAAACCGTGAGCTGCTCTGTAAATCCAGCTAGTTGTAGTGAAAATGTATAGGTCTCCAGGCCTTTGACAAGAGTTTCAGCTCTTCTTCCCTATCGGGTTGTGCTGGAAAGGTAAGGATGAGATTCTAAGGAAAGAAGTTGAGTGTTTAAAGAAAGAGATTCTTCTATGCCAATGAAAAGAGCGTGTTCATACTGTGTTTTGTTTGGTATTTTCATCCCTCTCCTTACCCACTGCTGGCATCCTTCCTTCAAGGTTGTTCTCCAGGAGCTCGTTAGAAATAGACTGCAGCACACGGTGGGATCCCTCTCCTTGCGCAGGTGCCCTTCTGCAGGGCAGCGGGCTGCGACTGCCGGCGGCAGTGCTTCGCCCCCAGGCAGAATCACCCTTCTTGCACTTGTGGAGCTTTCTGTGGTAGGAAAGCTTCACCCGGGCAGCTGCTTGGATGCAGGTAATCTCCAAATCCAGTTAGAGGTTAGGGCTAGAGGAGAGGATAGATAGATGACACTGTACAGTTATAATAAGCTGGCGTATAGTTAAGTTACGTGTCAGGAAAACCTCCTTCCTTGTCGCTGTAGTTCAGGCGAGTTGTTTGTTTACCAGCGCAATGAAAGGAGGACAGGAACAAAGATGTCCTTTTCTCTAATGTTTTATGGAGGATGTTGAAATGTATTTAGATGCTGGGCTGTGTTGGTGGGAGTGTGCGTGCACATACATATACATCCTTTCTCTTGCAACAATATTTTCTCTTTCTTATTGATCTACCTTCCCAGCTGTTGCTGTGTTAAACTGCTGTGTAATGCATTGCAACAAGCTTCTCCCAGCTCTGCTCAGCATTCCTGCAACGTTTCTTCTCATTCTTCAGCAAAGAGCAGTGGAACAGTGTGATCCTGAGTCAGAGCAGTAGCCACTGAAATGGAATAAATTTAGTCCTTGGAGAACAGAACAGGCTTTAAAAAAAGGCATAAGTGAACCCCATTCTCGGCTAACTTCATCAGCAGGGCACTTGCAGTGCGGAGGCTTTTCTCCGTGCTTTGTCCTTGTCTTTCAGTTCCCTGTTCTTGGAGACCACTGGGTGCATCAGTGATCACTGGGTACATTTGGTGCTTGCTAAACCCAGAAGCTGTAACAATTCTGCTGGGAGCAGGGGATATATTTACATGACTGAAGTGTTTGCCATTCTACCTGATTTTTCTTGTTCTAGTTTTACGTTTCCCACACCCACTTCTACTAATGCCTTACTGCTTGGGCTTGCAGCACTGCTGCTGTCCCAGGCCTGGGAAGTCTTTCAGTTCCCATAAGAGAGAACAGAGTTCAGGGCTTGTGCCTCCCAGTCCACCGGACTATTCCCTGCCAAACCAGTGACCGAGCAGGGATGATCTCCATCATAAAAGCTGGTCTCAAGTTATTTGCTCCCAGATCTTTATGAACATCTCACACGTGGCCAGCACATGAGTCCCTTACCTGAAACAAGCTGGTTGTTACAACAGTTATTTTTATGTGACTGCGGACACTGATTTACTTTATGGACTCATGAGCTGTACAATTTGAGTTTAAAAGCAGCTTAATTTCAAAGGTATTTAAATGCTTAAAGAGAGACTATTATTTTTAACCTGAGAACTTCAAAGTGATTTCTTTTCCCTGTAATTTGTTTTGTTGTTTCTTTTACAGAGAATGGAAAAGAAACCCTGCATTTGCAGAGGCATTTTGTGCCACAGTAAATTTCAGACCAGAGCAAAGGTTTAATCAGAGTCACCAATCCTTTAAAATGAGTTTGTAATTAGCCCTTATGGCTACGGTTACACAGCCCTTAACTGGCTCTGCTGCTGGAGAGGCCTCGTGCCCTGTGATTGGAGTTATCTTGAAAGACCTGGCGTCCAGGGACTGTCCTCCCAGTTCTGGGGACTGAATTATGCTTGTGTTCCTCTGGTGGTGTGTTGATTTTGGTGGAGTGATATTATTTCTGTTTCTTAGACTGGGTTTTGTAAAGGCGAGGGTATAAATTTGCTGTCAGTTGATAAACAGGGAGAACTTAAGACATTTTGTATTCACTGCATCTCACCAAGTTTTCAGGCCAAAACAGGTCATATCTATTTTCAATTGACTGTACTGCTGGTAAGAATGACAAAGATTTGGAAACCGTTAGACAGTTCCTACCTTTGTGGAGTTCTGTGGGGGGAACTGTGGAACTAAAAACTTTCTGCCAGGCTCCATATAATATTTACCTAGATATAAGGAAGGAACTGCCAAAGTCGAGAGCTCTTTCGGTCATCGCTGAGCAGCGAGTCGCATAAATACTTCTGCCTGGGACACTGAAGGTTAGCAAGGTGCAATGAGCTGCGTGGCAGGGATGAAGATGGGGAGAGAACAGGGCAGTTGAGATGACCCTGTGAGCCCTGCGTCTTCCCAATCCAGTGATTTCCGTGGGAAAGGCTTGGTATTGGTTATCAACTTCTCTGTCCTTCATTTCTTGGAAGGAAACTGCTTGCATGTGACCAGTAAACCTTCAAAAAGAAATTGGATGGACGTAGGGATAAACGGAATATTCAGACTTGTAATTTGATGCTGATAAAAAAACTGTTGGGATGGATATTAAATCTCATGCTCCAGAGCTTTAATCAATCTCTAGGTTAGTCTCATCCTGATCTCCAGAAATTAATGGGGAATGGGGAGCAAGGAGGAGATTATTCCTCTGATCCTTATTTACAGATTTGCTGTGCTTGCTTTTGAATCAGCTGATGCTGTACTTTGGCAGAGATGGGATGCAGAGCAAGACAGCCCTTGGGTCTCACCAGGCTGGCAGTCTCTGTATTGTTAATCATTGGCTTAAGTGAAATAACTCGGTCATGCCACTGGGCACCCCTGATGTGTGCGAGGAGGTAGGGATCTAACTGTGACTAATGAAGACCAGATTACAGCACTTGTGTTTGCATGGAGGAGTCTGTTTCTCTGCAAATAGCCCTGTCGAGTTCAGTGGGGTTATGAGGAGTGTAAAGCCCAATTCAGCGTGAGCGGGGGACTCGGGAGCCTGCCCCTTGGTGCTCAGAAAGCGTGCGAAGATCTTTGGATGAAAGAAGCCATATAAACGCAAAGAGGCTTTTTTATTGCTAGGCATCGCTTTAGCTTGCTAATGTCGTGTGACAGTAATGTGACAGGGTTTCTGATACAAGATCCTGCCTTGCTTTGCTCTGTGAAAGCTGTCGCTGCTACTTTTTGTTTTTCAAAGATGGAATTATTTTCCAGAGAATAACTGTTTCTAATTGCATTTGAATTCCAGCATGAAAAATCACCTAGCTGGAGGCTTTGGCAAAAGCCTGAAGTACTTACTATTTTGTGTCTGTAGGTGTGAAGGATACTTTAAGTAATCCATTACTCCTTTCTTGTTCATTTACAAATGCAGTAAGGTCACAGCCTTCTCACTGAAATGTTTCAAATCATTGAAATTGAATTTGGAAGAAGAGACAAAATAGTTTTCCTGTGTTTTGTCTGTTCTTTCTGTAGCTGGATCTGTTGTGGTTTTTATTTTTGTCAGTCTAATGTGAATAAAAGTGTAGGATTTTCTTCGCTTCTAAGATCTGTTACGGCTGGCAAGACCTGGGCTAACCACCCTGACTCTGTGTGCCCTGCCAAAATCTGCAACGGCTGCATATGCGCTTCCTACCACGTGCCTCGGAGGGGACAGCAGGTCCTGGGAGCGGGTCACAAGCAGGGAAGGGACAGCAGCAGCCCCCTCCCAGCAGGACAGGGCTGGGCTGGGCCCTGGAGCAAGGTGCTGGGGCGCTGCTGGCCGCACCACTGTGTTGCTGGAAGGGAGCATGGCTGTGTGACATAGCGCTTACTTGGGAGATGCACGTGAACGGCTCACGAGACCCGTATGGCTGAGGAAACAGGTTTGTCCATGTGTGATCGCTCCTGTTGTCCTCCATCCTCCAGAGACCAGTGTTCAGTCCCGTCAAAGGAAAGGTATATGAAGTCCCTGCAGTAACACTGCTGGCATACTTTATCTTCTGGAAAAGCCTCTCTGACCTTGATGCTTGGCTTAAGTCCTATTTTTCTAGGTATGAATTCTTTCCAGAACACAACTTGGTTTTGTTGTTTTCAAGTCCTCACAACTACAGCTTTTGCTGGTCTTGCTATCCATCTAAAGGTCAACACGTTTAAAATAAAATACTCCTCTAAGCTGCTGGGCTCGGTCCTTTCTGCTGCTGATCCGTCCCTCGAGCAGGCCTGTGTCATCTCTCTTCCTGCGTTACAAAGGACAGGATTGAAGATCCCTGGTGTCATCTCAGGGAGAGGAGAGTGGCTTTGGCTCTGGGATGAAGGGGTGCCATATGAATGCTGCTGGCTGAAGCCATCTCTGTTTTTCCTCCCCTGCAGGTGTGTTCTTCACCTTTCATACCTTTCACTTGGAGAATGGCCACGACTACCTCCTCATCACTGAAAATACCAGCTTTGCTCAGCCACTGAAGCAACTGACGGGCTCTCGGCTCCCTGCCCCGCTTAGCGCGGGGCTCTTCGGAAACTTCTCTGCTCAAATTCGCTTCATCTCAGACTTCTCCATGTCCTATGAGGGTTTCAACATCACCTTCTCAGGTAAGGACAGGGGTGGACAAAGACTTCATTCCTTCCTTTTCCTTCCTGCTTTTCTGCAAATCTTGGGAATAACTTTGTTGATGCAGTGCATGTGATTTGGGCCACTGACAGTCACTCCTCTTGTAAACCCAGTAAATTATTCTAGCATTAAACCACAGTATGTCCCAAGAAATGTTCTCATTGCAGTCCCCATATCACCAGATGTAGCAATTTTGTCTGCCTTGAGCCTCGGTAGATGACTGGATTGAACCCACTGGAATTAAATCCCACTACAAAGGTGTTTGTTGCCTTCTCCCTCCCCACATGGTCATCTTTTCTGCTCTGTTTATGGAGTTTCAGCTAGCGTTTTCTTGGGGTATGCTTATCCCTCTTTCCTCCAGATGCTTTCTTTCTCTGTTTATCAGAGGAAAATCAGTGCAGTAGTTACAGCATTTCCATTTCCAGCGTGGGAAGCTGGGACAGATGGGATCTTTTGGAAGGCAACGTTGAGCAATCTGGACTTCTTGGATAAGGAGCAAGGCAGAGCTGGTCACTCGCATTGTTCGCCTGGTCGCTCTTTTTTCCATTGGGTCATTGCTCCACTTGGATGCTCATCCAGCGACACAGCCTCTGCAGCTGACTTCAGCCTGTCCTAGATGTAACACGTGCCACGTGCAGCCTAGGCCAGGTTTTCATGAGCCCACTGGCATTGCTGGGGAACTGGAGGCAGTATTTTCCCTTGCTGGGCTTCCTTTAATTGACCTGCTGTAATATCAGATGAAAGCAGACCTCCTGGGGCACATACCAGGACATCAAGGGATGCAGGATTTTGCTGACTGCAGCGACCCTTCTCGCCCCTGCTGTGCTGGTGAAGAGCTGGCTGTGTGAGACAGCTTCTGCCTTGAGCATTTCCAGTAAGCCAGGCCAGTCCTGTGCTTACCAGCCACTTCTGTTGCAGGCTTCGACTGTTTGTGATTATACAAAATGCTGGTTTCTTCAAATGAAATTCCAGATATTCAGAAGTTGTCAATGAAGAGTAGCGTGTGCATGGTGCTCTTGCAGAGAGACTCAGAGAAAGGCACGTTTGCCTATGCAGAACAGATCATCGCACTTGTAAATAACCGCTTTGTGTGGGTAATCTGTGTGCAAGGTGTTTAACTGTGTCCTTTAACCTGAAGTCCTACAAGTGACTGCCAAAGTGTTTGCCTGTGCACGCGTTTCAGAAAATGTAATCTTTACTGCCTGAGCGCCCCGACAAGCCGTTCTGTAAAACAGTTACCAGACGAAAGCTTATTGTGTTGCTGCTGTTCTTTTCCATATCTCAGCATACTTTTTAGTCCTGAGGGGCAACAGCTGCAGATTCAGCCTGCTGGTGTGGAAGAGAAATGACCATTTTTATTGTGGAGCTCAGTGCTGATGTGTTTGCTGTCTTTGACGGACAGAGCTGTTGCCATAAATGCAGATAAAACCTGGTGCACTGAGAGAACTGGTTTCCGATACCTTTGTTCTGGCCTCTGAAGTCAGGAATTTGCATATGATACTCTGTGGAAACTAGTCAGAAAGTTTCCAATTAACTCTCATTTTGATGGGGGAAAAATGGCTTTTTGCCTTAAAAATTGCCTCAAATTATCTAATTATAACTGTTATTTTTAATGTGTTTGGGGACTTCTTTCCTTTCTTGGAAAATGAAAATGGGAGTCAGTTATATTTTTTTAGCTTCCTTTAGATATATATGTACATACTTTGTACTTTGCAGGTCTGTTATTTTTCAAAAAAGAACCCTCAAAACAGGTTTCCTTCAAAATGTTTTGTGGTCAAAGACATTTGGCTATTAGCCACAATGCTACATGACCTTTCATTTAGCAGCAGCTTAAATGTTCTCTTGCATTCCCCAAGCAGGGTGCTGTGTTCATTCATTTTCAGGATTAGTAATGTAGAGGCACCAGAAGTCCCATCCGGATCAATTCATCTTCATTTGACTATACCAGAGGGAGAATGACAAATTTCCATCCTGTTTTGTCACCACTGATGTCTGTTTCTTGTTTGTCTGACAACAGTGACAGAAAAAGAGACCTGTTGTATTTTGAGTTGGTTTAAATCAAGATCCTGGCGACACCGTGGGGGCTGCATATTGACAGTGAAACCCAAGTTGGTCTTCATGGCTCAAACTGGATGCACGTCTTGCATGGATGCTTCCTTTGCAGAGCTTCACTGCAGCTGGATCAAAACTCAGAGCTCCCTCCTCATCCTCGTGTTCAGGGACTGGGGTACCCTCACCGGCGAGAACGGAGTATGAGGTGTCGCCCTGCCGTTCTGTAAATGTCCGTTTGTTCCCTGTAGAATATGATTTGGAGCCCTGTGATGAGCCGGAGGTCCCAGCCTACAGCATCAGAAAGGGCCTGCAGTTCGGAGTGGGAGATGTCCTTACCTTTTCCTGCTTCCCCGGCTACCGGCTGGAGGGCGCATCCCGCATCACCTGCCTCGGGGGGAGACGGCGTGTGTGGAGTTCGCCTCTGCCAAGGTGTGTTGGTAGGTGGTCATGTGCTTTCATTTTGCTTGGTTGGTTACGCTGTGCTGGATTGTTTAGGTGGGCAGGGATGGGTGGCATCCACCAGGATGGCATCTTTCAGCTTGCAGGGTGGTTGGTGCAGGGGTGGGGGAGAGGGAGCTGGAATGAGCTTTCAGCCCCGCAACTGTGTGTGGGGAGAGGAGGGACAGGCAGAAGGGCTGCAGTCCTCTCCCAGGTTGGAGCGCACCAAGTGCATAGCAGATTGGGGCAGACACACCGGCAGAAGCCCTATGCCTCTGCAGCCCGTCCACAGCGCTGCGGTCGAGCCCCAGTGATTGTACGAGTGAATGAATCGCGAGGTGTGGGAGACCTGTCATCCCTTTTGGGATAGCTTCTGTAAAACAGCATGGTTTTAAGGCCATCCTCCCTTTGAATTGGAGTGTTGTAAAACTTAATACTCCAGACGTGAAAGCTGTTTCTGGGTGGGTGATCTTAAGCAATGCAAGTTCCATGTTAGTATGGACATCTCTGGGAAACCCCCTCTGGCTTTTACCTTTTCCTTATCCTCCAGAGGTTTCTTGCACCTTACACCTTTCCCCCCTTCTCCTCCTAACCGTTGCAAGTCCTTTTTGCAACCCTCCAGCCATTATTTATACTAATAATTAAATCTAAGGATAGAGGAGAGGAAAAATCCATCTGCAACACTGAGCTAGTCTCTGGCTGTCGTCCCTGATGCAGATGGGCTACAGTCAGTCTTGTCTAGCAAGGTCTGCAGAGCACCCCCCTGCCCAGCCCACGGAACCCTCCAAGCGTAACAGTTCGCATAAAAGAACAAAAGTAGCAATGTGCTACAGCAAGAGAGCAGAAAGGAAGAAGGATGCTTCAGGCCTTTGTAAAAAGATTTAACGTACTTTTTTGTTGTATAGTTTAGTAAGTAGGAAACTATTGAGTGCTCTGCTGCTGCCTGGCTCACCCAGAGCCATGAAGGATTCATTCAAATCAGACAGACCAGATCTCTTACCTGTTTTTCAGTCTGGCAAAGCCTGCTTTGATTTTCCTGATCTGTGTTAGTGACCTTTGAGGGTCATTGCAAAGACAGTGTCCCAGCAAAAGCCAGTCTACTTTCTGTCTGTAGAGTCGTGTCATGCTGAATGCATTTCCCAGCACTGCTTAATGCTTAGGTCACAGGGTTGCATCATCCTGCTGTGACAAGCAGCCTCTTCAGGACATGAATAATAATCAGGTTGCAGAGAAAGCTAATCAGGGGAATAGAAATCAAAAAGAATAATAACAAAGCTTTAAACTTGATGCTCAGACATCATCGCTAAGTGGACACACTGACTTCCATTTGCCAAGTCCCTACTGCAGCTGGCTTTGAATTAGCATGTTGGTTTTATATTATTAATTCACTGTCTGGTGATTTGTGCAGAGCTTTGGTGGCAGGGTGACAGTTTTTTTCCACAATCTCCCTGCTGTGTACACTCAGCTATACGTGCTTGCCCTGGACATGGGTGGACATTGGAGACTTACTCATTAAGATCACAGGAGATTAAATTGGTATTGCCAACAACCCAGACACTTTGTATTCAATTCCTGTTCTAGAGACGGGTCTGGAGAGAAAGGAGAGCAGTTTGTTCCTTTGGCCGACCCCTCTCTCCAGGGTAGGAATGCTCCCCACCGACTGCTACTTCAGACCAGATCCCAAGTGGTGATGTCTCCAGCATCATCCCTGGGTAATCTGTGCTAAAGTGAATGTCCCACTTTTCATGCATGGCAAGAGAGGAGGAGAAAGTCACCTCCAAAGTACCTCTTCTCAGCGTATCTGCTGCTGCTTCCTTACTTCACCCTCACGCTTTATTGGAGGACCAGGAGAGGTGGCAGAGTCAGTGTAGAAAGCTGCACAAGTGCTGTGATGGTTTCGCTCAGCTCCAGCAACTTTGTATGCTGTGAGGACTTGTGGAGAGAGGCAGAGCTAGCTAATCAGAAAAGCTGTTTTCAGGGCAAGTTGGAGTGACTCTCCCCAGCTGTGCATGCAAAACACCAGGACTCAAAGGAACAGGGAGCCAGTGTTTTACAGCTGCAAATCTTTCAGGGTAAGTAGGCTGAGAAAACAACAACTCATGGTTTGCTGTGTGGGAGCTAATCAGGGAGTTACGAAAAATCCTAAACACATGGTGGTTGCAAGGCAGATTTACATGTGTTGAGGGATTGTATATATATGTAGCAACCAGGCTGCAATGGTCCTAGCTGAAATCAGGCACTCAGACAAGGCAACAACTGCTGGCAGCAGATGTCCTCTAAGGAGGACATCCTTTGGATGCCATTTTGCAAGTAGGCCCTCAAGCTGTGAGTGTTGTGGACTTTTGCTTCCTCCCTGTGATAACAGCAGGTAAGAGCTCATTTTCACGTTGTCCCGTGAGCTCTGGGTGGAGCTCAGTGCTATCGCAGTAGTACTGCGTCTTGCACTCAGATGCACTTGAATGTCTGTTCACCACTTCACGTAGTGAAGACATGCCCATAGCAGTCCTGTTATACTCACTGTGGCATGTTCGTATGAGTGAGAGATTGTGTCCTTAAAAGCTTGCAATTAAAATACACAAAATACAGCGGTGAAGGGTGGCTGTTGATATTTTCCAGAAGCATTAAACTGTGATTTCCTGACATCCAAGATAGGTCAAACCTCCAAAGCGGCATCCTCTTCCTTCTCTAAAGAGGATCATTCTGCCAAGTTTTGAGTCACACAACTCTTCTAAATTCAAATTTGGCTCAAAATCAAATGCTGTTCACACTGCACAGAGTAGAAAAGGAAGCAGGTCTGGTGAAGGAGCAGAGAAGCCTTACTAGAAGAATGTAATGGAACAGGGACGGACTGCAGGTCGTAGTGAATAACAACAGGGAAACGACTCTTTCTTTCTTTCCTTATTTCCTTCCTTCCTTATTTCCTTCTTTCTGAAATCATGGCCGCTTATAACCTGTCATAGGACATAAACTCGTCTCGGGGAAGGGAGAAACAATTGCAGTAACATTAGCTACCCCTGCCCCTCCAGTTCCCTGAGCAAGAGATCCATAGGGATGCCCACCTCAGCATTTCCTTCTCTGGCCCCAGCCCCTTGTCTTTTGAACAAGAAAGGTCAATTTTGTCTATGCCACAGAAAAACCTGAGCCCACTGTTGTTCTTTGAGTGACGTTTTGGGAAGAAACAAAGATATGTAAATCTGAGCTAGTTTCTGAAACTGAGAGGCAAAAGGATCTCTGGTTTTCTGTCTTTCTGTAATGGGAATGGATGTAATTGTTAGCTGCAGAGCTGGGAAGAAAATAAATGCAGGGAGCAAGGGACAAGAGGTCCTTTAAAATACTGTCAAATGATGAACTGGAGAGCGGAGGGCCGCATTAACAACACATAAGGTCAAATTTTGCCCTCTTAGCTTTCAGGAAATTATTTTGGGGAAGGTTTTGAAATTCAGGTATAGCTTTATCATTTGTAATTATTTGGAAGTTTCACTAAGCATATCTTTCTGCACAAAGAGCTCTGGCACTTGCAATGCAGGTACGAGCAATCGGTGGTGTGCTGTGTTGACTGTTGAATGAATACCGTGATTTTTATATATGATATATAGGTATAGGATGAGCTTTGTATAGGTATGGAAAAGACTTCAAATATTTCAATCTAACAATATTTTCTTATTTTCCTTCTGGTTCATTAATCAGGAAGGAACAGAAGCACAGGCGCTGCTTCACGCAGGTGGTGGCTTTCCAGGGATTTTTGGAATGTTTTTCTGAACTGGGTCCCAAGATAGCATTTGAGCACACCAGCTTTCTGTGACTCAGTTTCCCTATCCATATAAGGAGAGGGTATTAATCTCTCTTGTAAGGCACCTGGGGTTTAATGATGATAGAAGTGCTATTAAGTACTGTTCTTTTTACTGACTGCACTTGGAAATAGGGTCCATGGATATGTTAGCAGATGGGTATAGGAAGGAGTGAGCATCTGTGGCCGTTTGGAGGAATCACCTGCATGTGTTGTATGGCTAGAATATACATGTGGTTATTAAAATGTGGTTTTGTGTCTTTATATAGCTGAATGTGGCTCATCTGTAACTGGAACTCAAGGTGTTCTGCTGTCCCCCAACTATCCAATAAACTATAACAACAATCATGAGTGCATCTACTCCATCCAGACCCAGCCAGGAAAGGGGATCCAGCTGAAAGCCAGGACTTTTGAACTGGAGGCAGGAGATGTCCTCAAGGTAATTCTTCCGTCTCTAGCAATGAAGCACTACCATGCTGCTAATGAGAGCGAGATCTGAAAGGGAAAGTTCTAAAACTTTAATGGAGTTAGCCGATCTGATCTCTGGAGAATGCTGCCCAGGCAGTGCTGACAGTGCAGTGGTAATCTCTGGAAGAGTCTCACACTAGGAATTGGACTGACATCGCCCCAGAAGCCCTTCACAGGGCTGCTGGAACCCACAGTCACTGCTCTGTTGTTCAGTGACTGGCACGGCCGTTTTGAAGGGAGCAGCAAAATTCTCACAGACCAGACTGAACCCAGGGCAGCTGGGCTAGAATACTGTCTGTGTGTACCCCCTCTAAGGTTAGAGCAAGACACAAGACGCGACGCATCTGTGAAACAATATCTTCTAGCCCAGGGACGCTGTCTGATCAGTGTATGTCACTGCTGTGCGTTAGTTTGCTGTGCTTAAAAACATACTGTGTAATTGTAGGGAATCAGCACCTCTGAACTTCACCAGCTCATAGCAGTCTCTGGCAGCAGCGTTAAGGCAATAGTGAATGTCCTTTGCGCTTCAGCCTAGCTGGTTATTTGAGGCTTCAGTCTGCAGATGGATGTGTAAACAAATTCTGTATCCATTAAAAATGTAGCTATCTCTGCCATATCAGTGCACCTTCTGCTGTGAAGTCTTCCCTGAGATTTAGAGATCTGTTGGAATGCCAGGGGTTGTTCTTCTGTACCTAAACTTCAGTTCTTATCTGCACAGGGGAAACTGTTAACACATGAGGAAGTGTGAGGGTCCTTAGCATTATTTTTATGTTTTTTAAGAATCAAGGCTGATTTGTCCCAAAAAGGGATTTATTTAAATGCAGACCTCCAGACTCAAGCTCTTCAGCATTCCCATACTCAGTCTTAGATTAATCTGCATTTACAAGTTTCAGGACTCTATATAAAAGGAGACAAATCCAGGCTGACTTTCTATTAACCACAAAAATGGTTTTGTAGGAGGCATATTAATATTACAAGATGTGTTCTGCTGTGCTAAGCCATCTTCCCAGAGAACTCTGTCCTTATTTAAGTGCCATACTTCTGCACTGCGAGATAGATGTAATCCACATATTTTCAGCTCACAAATGACGGGAAAGAGAGAGAGATTTGCAGCTAATGCAAAGCATATACTCGTTGTGAAAGAAATTATGTTCTTGCAACAGGTTTGTCATCAACTTCTCCTCTGCTCCTGAGGAAGGTTACTATCAATCTCCACTAGTGAGAAGTTGCTCTTTATCCTTGTAGAGAATCATGCTATATAAAAGAAAAACAAAATGATGGGGTTTTTTTCTTCCTTAAATAATAGTGGGGTCAAGGCACATCTGAGAGTCACTGTAGGGAGAAAATGTTTTTCCCAGTAGCTGTGCTGCACCTTTGGAAAGAGAGCTTAGTTCAGAAAGCACAGCCCTGAGTGCAGTATAAGCTCAGGTGTAAGGAGAAGGATGCGGATCCTCCAGGGTAAGAATCCTGCTCCTCCGATGAGCAGCACCATGAAGTCTCGTCAAGTCAGACTCTTAGTTGGGATAATTTCACTGGCTTCAAAGGAACCGTCCCTGTTCGTGCTCATGGGTGATTTGGTCCCTGAAGTAGCAAACAAAATATGTTTTCCAGTATGTGTTTCTTGTTCCTCCCAGGTCTACGATGGCAGCAATAGCTCTGCTCGCCTGCTGGGCTCCTTTAGCCGCTCTGAAATGCTCGGCACCAGCATAAACAGCACTTCCAGCAGCATGTGGCTTGAGTTTATCACCAACAGCGAGAACACGAGTAAAGGCTTTGAGCTGCAGTTTTCTAGTAAGTCTTAGGCCCATATGCTTGTGAGGTGGGAATCTGAGGTGTAATGGTGTATTTTTATGTTACAGTTGCATGACCAGAGGAAACAGTCCTTTCCATAAAGATCTTGTAGTCTAAAGTGGAATTGGAGTGAGGGAGATGATTATGCCGGCAAACCTTTTCTGTTGTGAATGAGGCAGTGGTGATACAGAAATTTTGGATCAAAGCCGAGATACCAGATTTCTGGGATCTCGTTCAAATATTAATTAGAAAAATATTAATTTTCAATATGGTGTTTTTTCTCTCCAGCAAATGATTTTAAGAAGAAAATATTAGTATGATCCTGTGTTAATATCTCCTGGCTGTTAAATATCTGATGAAAACGGACGCTGTTTCTCCTGCTCCAGGTTTTGAACTCATTAAATGCGAGGACCCTGGCATCCCACAGTTTGGCTACAAGGTCCGTGATGAGGGACACTTTGCTGGCAGCTCTGTATCCTTTAGCTGTGACCCTGGCTATACCCTGCGAGGCAGCAGGGTGCTGGTCTGCCTGACGGGGGAGCGGAGAGCTTGGGATCAACCCCTGCCAACCTGTGTAGGTGAGACAACTCTTGCTTTTAAAACGTCCTCTAACAAGTACTTTGCCTGTGGGCATCACACTGAATGCCCTTTCTTCCTCCTTTGCTAATACATACGATGTTAACTCTGATACTGATCGCACCTATCTACATTAATAAAGACCATGATAAGGATGCTATGTAAGGCATCTTCAGATAGCGAGCACTGATCTCTTCAGAGCTTCTACAAGCAGTCTTAACATGAAACACTGTGCTCAGGAGCACCGATTTGACAAGGTTTCTTGCTTCACTGCAAGGAGACTACTGCTTTTCCAGTCCTTGTCCTTTCGCTTGAATGTGTTAAACAGTGGCACTTTCTGATAATGGCAGACATCAGCGTGTGTCCAGGCATTTGACAGTTCAAAGTCATGTTTATTTGAGAGCTACATGACACCTGATTCCAGATCCTCAGATGTTTTAATTTCCTCAGTCTTTTCTTAGCTAAGTCCTGAGTTCCCTTTTACCTGGAGCTCTCCAGAAGGATATCTTCTTGCTTGGAAAATTCTGATACTTAGTTTTGTGTACCTAAATGAAATGCTGTTGGTCTGTTACTTGACAGCTTCATAATTAGCTAGTGTTTCCAGGACGTGGCAAAGTTCTTACAGACTTAGTCCTCAGAGAGATCTCGACAACCAGAAGGCTGCTTTCGTGGTTATAAGTGATGTGCTCAGACATTGGCACTCTGTATTTTCCCATGAGTTAGGACCATTCTTTATGTGGTAACTCTCTGCTGAATTTTAGCCTTGATTATTGAGGTAAAAAGACAAATTTCTGTGATTTATGCATCTTCTTAGCCTTTACCCTATTTGCTATACATATATTACATATGAATGGTCGTGTCTGTGTGAGCATGTGGAAACTTAAAGAATTTTAATGGATAAACTATGAAAATGAATTCAAAATCCTCATGTGCTTTTGAGGTTCATTTAGCAGATACATACGTATGTTGGCTTCTTCATTGTATCACACTGAATCATTAAGACTTTTTGCAGATACAGGCGGAAGAATTGAGCTCTTTCACCCCACATGTGTGAATCATGTAAAGCAGGATGCTGGCAGGCTCTGCCTTTATTCACAAAGTCAAAAAGGTGGAGGGAAGCTTTGACAGCATGTCAGGTGTTAGGAGTGTGCTCAGAAGTGCAGAGTTATTCTGATAACTTGGTCTTTTAGCTGAATTAAATGACTCTCTTTATCTTGGTTTTGTAGGCTTTAAGAATCTCTTTAAATGGCAAGAAATACTCCCTGTTGTATTTGTAGGATGAGATTTGTATTGTTGCCAAGTAAGAACTGTAATGTGTCATGAATCTTCTCACTAACCCATATGTTTCTTTCAGCTGAGTGTGGGGGTACTATCAAAGGAGAGTCGTCAGGACGGATACTGTCTCCTGGCTACCCAACACCCTACGATCATAATCTGAATTGTATTTGGACAATAGAGGCAGAAGCTGGTTGCACGATAGGGTGAGTTGGGCCAGGTTATTGTAGCTTGTTTTTCTTTCCATGTACAGCTTATTTTTGCAGAAGTAGATCAATAATTATGTAACGCAAGTAGAGAGAATGCCCTGTCAACTTCGAGAGTCCCAAAAGAAGGAACAAAGGCTGATTTATCTCCTTGCCAGGTTGGACAGAAGTGGCATCACTTCTCCTTTCTCTTAAGCTTTTTAGCCCTGTATGGCCTGTGCCAGTAACAGCTATTGTGCCATGGGTGGTGAAGCCAGATTATTTGCTATTGCTGCCTGTGGTATTACTGTGTTAAAATAACATCCAAGAGCTTTTACGGGCATGTGCGATGTAAGTGCTTTTCACTCCTTTCCTTAATGGGATGTATTCAGAAACAAACCTTTTCCACCAGATTAGTGTTGAATTTCCCAACAAAGTTTAACGTGTCCAAGTGACATAATCCTAAAATGAGGACAGATATATATAAAATTGCTTGGAAGATCACATCCCAGGAAAGGATAAATGGAAGGCAATTATGGGTTTGGTTCATCTTCCATTCATGCTGCCAGAGTAAATTAACACTGAAAGGGATGAGCTCTGTCACGTTACGTTTGTGAGAATGAACGGTCAGGTGTGACAGTCCCCAGATGTGAGTGGACAGCTGGAAAACTGAGACCACAGCACTTAGCCTTCATCTTCTAATTGCATTGTTTTATTAAGAAATAGAACACATACAACGTAATTATCCTCCCAAAGGAAAAGACTCAAGATGGTTTATAAACATCTAGTCTGTACAGAGACCCAAGGCTGTTTTCTCCTCCTGCTCCTCTGACTTCTCTTATTGTTCTGTTGCCATTTTCCTGTTGGAAATGGCAGTTTGAAATGTAATTTGTTTATAAGTTATGTGAATTTGTCAGTTAGGTAAGCATGGTATTGAGAACATTTGGCTCATAAAGTTAGTGCGGTCACCAGCAGGATCCAGGCAGTTTCCTGCTCTGTGATACTTCATCTGTGATCCCTGCTGCTTAACCACTGTTCCCATGCTGAAGGTTGCCCAAGCCCTAGCAAGCCATTTCAGTACTGCTCTGTGTGTACCTACGTATTTCAGTCCAGCTAAAGACATCTTCGACAGAAAGCTGAAGTGTATTGGCAAGTAGAGTTTTCGCTAAGTGATGGGACTCGAGGGGGAGAAACGTAGATTATAAGGTCTGTTCAACAATAATCCTCTTCTCCTATGATCTCCCATAGTAATTTCTAGTGCTTGTTAGCTGGTGTGTCAGCCCCATTTCTGAGCTGACCTGAGACCTGTTGCTGTTCCAGTCCTGCACTCCTTCGTTGTCAGTGCCCTTTTATCTTCAGTGTAGCTTCCTTGCTGCATCAGCACTCATCATCTCTTCAGCGGAGACTGTTAATCATGTTGAGCTCTATGGTGCTTTTAGTCGATGGATTTATGCTGGAGATAAATCTGGTCCAGTATTCTAATTTTTTACTTAATGCAGAAATTTCCTCCGTTAGCGCTGCTCTTCAGTATGGCTCAATAATGGATGGTGTCTGGTATGAACGCAGGAGAAAGAGCATAGTCAGTGCAGCGTAATTCCTGCACAGGCCACTCCCAGTTGAAGTCTCCTTTTTTTTTCATTCTCCTGTAAAAGATTCTGAGGAATCCAATGATTTTTATAGGCCAAAGTAGACATGAGACCCCCTTTTCTCTCCCTTCCTCCCCCCGCCGAAGTGTAAGAGGCTGCCTCATCCAGAGGCTGCTTCAGCAAGTGAACTTTACTCACACATGTAATCCCTATCTGCTTCTGTAAGAGCACTCAAACGAGCAGAGCTATAGGCTTGCGTTTGCAGGATCAGCCAGAGGCTTGGAAAGGGCCAAGACTGAAATGAAATGATGCCAGGCAGTAGTACGGTAATAGACCTTGTGACCCTTCCTTTCATCGGAGATGAAAGCTCCCTTCTTCTGTTCCTTTATTTGGCAGCTCAAACAGAACAGATGATCTCTGGGTAGTTGAGAGCACATTTTCAGCAACTTCATTTTTATGGTAATCCATTGGAAAAATAATCCTCTTCACGCATGATACAATTGTATAAAGCTCTCATTTATAACTTACATTAAAATTAATCACCAAAGCTTTTTGAATAAAGCTGTGTCTGCACAGAACGAGGGGAAGGAGAGAAAGATAGAAAAATTAGTCTGTACATCATTGCCATGAAAGTTGAAGGGTTGCACTTTGAGAGAGGATTAATTTTGTGCATGTGCAAACACACGCATGCACACGCACATAAAATTACAACTAAAATGACTTGGCTTATCTGTGAGACTCTGGGGAGAGAAAGAAGAAGTGGGAGGGTGTACTGGAAAATGAATGAAACTTGCCTTCGAGTGCTGCTTGCCCAGCTGAGAGCAGTGACTGCACAGTTAGAAGTGGCAGTGGTTTTATTGTGTAGCAGTGATCTCGGTGTCATAAGAGTTTCATGATATTGCTAATTGTAGTTTAATGGATGGTGCTGTATTGACAGGTTCCATTTTTCACAGTCTCATCTAGAAATACGAGTGAGAATATTGGGATGTTCCAGTTTGCTTCCTTGGAGATTTCTAGGGACGTAACATTTAACAGCTTTTAAATTTGGGAACCCTCTCCGGGCTAGAGGGAGACAGCGGGCAGCCCTGCAGACTGCTGTTAGTGTGAAAGCCCTGCGGCTTTGGTGCAAGCTAGGTGGGCATCACCAGTGTGTCAAGCTGCGTTCAGCTGCTGACGCCAGCTCCGGCTGGGAGCCCAGGCTCCAGCACAGCAGAGCCAAGTTGGGGGGGCCAGAGCTTGGATGGGAAACGTTAGCAGAAAGAGCCCCAGGTTGGTCAGTCGGGATGTGGGGGGGCTTTCTGAAGAGCTGGGGCTAAATGGCTCACCAGAGATTATGCAGATTGTCAGTGCAGAGCTGGTCTCTCCTCCTCTCTGCTCCTTGCTAAGCTGGGAGAACTTTCCCTCTATCACATATATATATAGCCACAATTCCTAATTTGCTTTTTGCTGCATTTTCATGCATGTAATTGGGATTGTCAGAGTGCAAGAATAAAACTCTTTTCCTCTCCATTGTCTGCTAAACCAGTGTCTCTGTCTTGTCTTAAATGAAGCCCTGCTGGGAATAGAATCAGGCTGATAGAAAAATCATGCTGTTTGGTTACAGATGTGCCTATTGAATAGATTGATTTGCTCCAGAGCACACCAGTTTTCTTAATAAAATCAGCTATCCCAATAGACTCCTGAACCAGCTGGCATTGGACAGCCTGTGCCTTGCCACCGTGTCATCTGGTTATCATGCTAAGGCTTTCTCCTTGTGCTGAAGCCTTGCCTGCAAGTTGTTTCTTAAAAATAAATGAGGGAAGTGAGTTGCTGTAGGCAGCCTTGGTCCCGTGGGGAGCCGGTGGTGACCTCTCCCAGGCAATGGCAGTTTCAGGGTGTCCTCCCACCCCAGGTCAGTCTCTGCCAGCGTCTCCCTGTTTCCAAGGTGTGCTGGAACCCACAAGTTTTCTCACTTTTACTCTTCGATTCTCTCCCCCATCCCACCGGGGGCAGGGGGGAGTGAGCGAGCGGCTGCGTGGGGCTCAGTTGCCGGCTGGGGTTAAGCCAAGACACAAGCTCTTCAGCAATGAGTTTTCTCTGGCAGTTTTGGCTAACTAGAACCAGTTAGCCTGAGAGCAAACGTAATCAGGCCAATGCACCTGGGGAGACCAGCTCTGCTATGATCCATTCTTATGTTCCTCGAGTCTAGGTTTTTTTCTCTTTGCTCAAGGTCTCTGCTAGGTAGATTTATGATTCAGCTCTTTTGGTTCCTGTCGGATTCTGTGGACGTCATTTTGCTGCTGAGTACATTGCAGTGTTTTGGTTTGGTTTTTTTTCCCCTTTTATGGTTCTACCTGATTTATTTATGTTTGTCCCGGATAAATGGGAAAGGAGCCAAGCGAATGCTTCCTTGTTTTCCTCCGTGGGCTGTCAGGGTTTTAAGCACAGTACCTGATTGTTTTATTTTTTTGCAGATTTTTCTGAGTACAGTTTATAGATTTCTGTCCCTGTTTCAAACTGGCGTGCCTCGTGTTACCCCGTGTTAGCCTGATTTCATTGTGTCAGATGGTGTTTCCCCAGTGATAATGTGGTAATGAAAACAGAGGCAATTAAATGCCTTCTCTTCAGTTGGCATTTTAAGTGCAGGAGCGAAAGGGACTGAACCGTGATGTATCGCAGCCTTTAGTTGATAACTCCCTTGGGTGTGACAATAATAATGACAGTATCTTATGCTTATATGGTACTTCTGATCTTGGAAGATCCTAAAGCTCTTCGCAAAGCCTGGATTCATCTGCTTTGCATCCTTCCACAACAGAGGTTGGCTTGATGGGGAGAAGTGCAGTGTTATATCCCCCCAGCCTAGAGTGGGAAGAGAGGAGCATCCCACCAGGGGTTGATGTTGGGACCAAGTTTGTCCTGTCGCAGAGTGCCACCAGGCCTCTCCTGGGCATGAAGGGAACTTCTGGCCTTCTCCCATCCCCTTAGGTCCATCGCTGGTCCAGGCTCTGGAGTGAATTTCCTCACCATGATGACTCCTGCCAGCATCTTGGGAATTTTCTGTGGAAGTGCAAAACGGGCATAGCCCTGTTTTGGTTTAAAAGCAGAAGACAAGAGCTCCAAAGAGTACTGCTGCAGGCAGTTCAGGACTAAGGAGCATTTGCTGCATACGCTGAAGGCCTTGCAGCCCTCTCTCCAGGGCAGACAAAACTATAAAATACACAGATTAAAGAAATGAAATCTGCACTCAGAGCATCGTAATAAATACCTCGTTGAGAGCACAGTGTTATTTCACTGCCAGCCACCAGTTTCTTAATTTCTGTTTTCTCTCCTTTCCCTTCCTATTGTGGATTTTGGAGAGCTGGCTCATGCTGCCTCACTTTTTCTTTATTTCTTGCTGAAGTTATTCTGTTAGCTGATCTAGATGCAGTTTTGCAATATTCAGAACTTTGTAAAACATGTCAAAATCCTCGGAGGTGCTGCAATCCAGCATTCAGAATTTGCACCCACCTGTTTGCCACCCTCCCACACACCCTTTTCTGCCCCTTTTTATTAACCTCCAGGGCAGTTAACACCCTGGTAAAGGGTTTCTTTTCCAGCATGATGCTGTTTTAATTAAGAGTGGTCTTGGTTGTTTCCTTTCCTTTTTTTCCCCGATACACAAGATTAGCTTGGTGCCAGGAGCAAATTCTTTGATCTGAGCGCAGGTAACAAAAATCAATGCATTTTATCAGTAGATGCTGGCTCTTTCCTTGCAGGACACCAAAAAAAGCAAAGGACAGCCAAGGTTGTTGCTGTGTGCAGCCTAGGGACAATGCGTGAATCGGATGAATATATCTAAGTTGTCTGAAGGGACCCCAGGACATTTTCTGCTGATTCTCTCTTTAGCATAAGTTTCTCAATACTTCTGTGTTTGTCTGTTACAGAGCTCAGTGAAACTACAGATAAACCCCCATCCTCTCCTTCACAGCCCCTCTACCTCTCTGCTGCAGGTTTCCTATGTGTCCTTGACTGAGCCTTTTGTCAGTGGGACAGCTACTCGTTGTGATGTCTGAGCACCTTTGGTGTAAAACCAACTGTGATATTCTGGCTAGGGACATTTCCACTGCCCACGATGGGCTTTTGGACCTTTACCTTGTTCCTCCAGACTTTTAGGAGAGATTAGTAATTTTGTTCGCTCAGGAGAGAACACCAGAAAGGACCCAACTTTTCAGAAAACATTAGTATCCCTGACTCAGTTTTTTGTTTGTGGATGTGTTTTATTAGGGAGGCATGTGACTAAGAGATCTTGGGTTTTATAGACAGATGAAGTTTGGTAGAGGGCTAAAGTACTTTGTCCAAGCTGAGTTGCAGATAACAGGAGAGAACACATTCCTTGGCCAAGCTACCGTAGGTTGGTACCAATCACATTTCTAATCCTTTCAGGAAAAAAGGCAGAGCTCAGTTTGTGGTCTGACTTCCAGTTCATTTTGCCACACAGGCTCCATTTCATGGTTTTCCACACCGAGGAGTTCCACGATGTGCTGAGGATCTGGGACGGTCCAGTGGAGAATGGCATCCTCCTAAAGGAGATGAGTGGGTCCGGCTTACCCGGCGACGTCCACAGTACTTTCAACTCTGTCATCCTTCAGTTCAACACTGATTTCTTCACAAGCAAGCAGGGCTTTGCTGTTCAGTTTTCAGGTAGGCTTTACATTGTTTCCTCAGCATCGTCCAAACCTGGCTTTGCTGATAAGTGATTTCAGGTCTATCCACAAACTACTGATGGTGAGCAAATGACATTGTATTGAACGCGATAGCAGGAACTGTGTGGTCTTCCAGCCATTTGTGCTCTACTGCATTTGGGTGCAGTCTCTGCAAATAGAGGAAAAACTCTTGTATTTTGTCCTTGCAATGCAGGTGTGTTCTGTGCTCCCCTCTGCTACAGTCACCTTCACAGTGGTGAACTTGGCAGCAAGATGTAGAGCAATACATTGTGGAATACACAAGAAGGCATTACAGATATTTTCCACCACATTTTCACAGGTGCCTTAGAGACACCAGTATGCAGGCAACTTCCCCCAGGCGTTCTAAGAGCAGTTGGTCAGTGGTCTCTGAAAAACCAAGTCTATTTAAAATCCCTCAAATTGGATCCCCTGAGATGCAGATCACAAAAAGCTCTGTCGGCTGTAGGGATGTCATTGCTAGCAGCAGCGCTACGTGTAATGCAACTGCAATCTGTCATTGCCTAAGTCCTGGCGGCTGTTACCTAAGACTCAGCCTTGCAAACACAATAACTTCAATTATATTAGGGTAATACACTTCAACATTCACACACAGGTTTCCAGGATGCAGGCCTTCACTGACGTGTCCAGTAACCAACCAGCAGATGCCTATTTTGGAGATGGTAGTAAACAGGGAGGCTGTTGGGTGAACGATGATATGACCTTCCTGGGACTCAGACACATCTAAGCATCAGAGCTCGTTCTGTCTCTCCCAAATTTTTGCCTATAGCTTTCTGTTCGGGATTCCTTGCGTGACCGGGAGAGCAGGCCAGCTCTTTGGGAAGAGCTTGTGCTGGGTACAAGGCCTTCTGGGATGACCAAGACAGAGGGAGAGCTTTGTGTCACCCAGCACAGCTCTGCTGTCCTCTTTCTTTGCCAGGCTTGTGTCTCAGCCTGCCAGGAAGGACCAGACTGGGCTGCTAACTTGCTTATCTTCAGTTGCACAGAAAGAGAGAGAGGGATTTCCTCTGGCTCTTTTAAGAAGAGCTTTCTCTAAACTGGCTAGGTGTAATAGATTCTCATCAACTTAGCAGGAAATAAGCCCTGCTCCACTGCCTGATACGGAGCTGGTCTTTATTGAATGCTTCTGCTCAAAGCCTTTGTTCACAAGGTGTGACAAAGTAGTCAGACCTAAGCTCAGAAGTACACAGTTTTGGATCTTGTGAACTTTAATGATCTATATAAGCTTGCAAAACTTCTATTACTCTGGGACTTTCCATACTGTTAAGTTGTTGTAGCGTTGACAGACCTTGAGCTCAGTCAGCAGCAAAGCTCTGCTGCCTGCCCCCAGCTGAGAAGAAGCTGAGGGGGTCATCTCATACCTCAAAGGGATGCAGCAGCGAGTCTGGGAGGGAAACACGTGCATTCCTAAAAGGTCAGGCTTGACGCTTCACAGGGCTAAAGGCTGAATTGCTCTGCCACTCAGGGGAAGTTAAAAGTGCAAACAGATGAGTTTATTTTGCAGCATGTGTCTGACACAGAATTCTATAAAAATGCCATGCAAGATCAGTGGATGTCTGGACTTACTAAGTAAACATGCGTGTGCACAATTATACATCAAACTTGCACTCTGTGTAGTGCACTTGAACTTGCCGTTCCCCAGAGCCTTTACCAGCTGGAGTGGCAGATGCTCAGTGCAAAGTAAAAGCCAGTTTTTGTGTATGTGGCAACTTTAAGGGATACTGAAGGAGGAGAGATGAAGAATGAAGTCACTGCTTGGATATCTGTTTAAGGACAGGGTCTAAGTACAGCTGGTGCTGTAAGCCTGTGTTAAATATAAATATATATATATAAAAAATATATTTTTTTAATACTCTTCAGTTTCTACTGCCACTTCCTGCAATGACCCAGGAATTCCCCAGAACGGGAGCCGGAGTGGTGACAGCAAAGAGGCAGGTGACTCCATCGTCTTCCAGTGTAATCCAGGATACGCTCTGCAAGGGGATGCCAAAATCACTTGTGTGCAGATTGAGAACAGATTTTTCTGGCAACCAGACCCTCCCTCCTGCATAGGTATGAACACATATCCATCCTCCCATTGCACTGGTTCCCTGCCCTGTTTCATTGCAAGACTTCTGTATCTGAAGGGGGTGAGTCCCACCTCGTTTGAAGAGGTGTATGACAAGGTATATATGTCTCAGGTAGCTGTCCCATAAAACTCCTTTTTAGGTTTATCCCCAGAGTGTCTGAGACAATGAGAATCTAGTTCATGCTGGAAACTCATAGGACATACTGCAATGTACATGATCATATTTAACTTGAAAAGTCAAAATTAAAGGCTTCTTTAAAACTCAGGTTGGTAGGGAGGATTGGGGTCACGGGTGAATAATTTCTGCATGAGGAGATAGCAAATTCTGTCACGAGAAAGAACTAGCTGACATTTCCTTTGAGCTCATAAAGTAATAAAAGAAGCTCATAAAAGTGATTCTTTTTAATATGTCCAGAACACATAAAATAGTCATGCTAAGCACATAAGAGCAATAAACATCAAATTTTCTGGCCAATTAAATGCTAACCACAAATTACTTATCCTGTAACCTTCATTCCTGTTTATGCACTGTTATCCCAAGCAAAAAAAATCAGTTAATTCTGTTTCTAACATCTGATTTAATGCCAGCTAGGAAACTTCTACACCATGCACAGGATGTATGCTCCCTGCAGGATGACTTGGTTTCTGAATGACTATCTTGATGATCTACTGTGGCACCCTTTCAGCCTGATAGAGACAGTCCTTTTAGTCTTCCCGGAGCTATAACTAAATCATACTGTTGCATGTCATGCCCATCTCGTCATTCTCCTGTTGAGTTTTCTTTCACACCAGAAGCTGGGCTCTCAGTCCTTTTCAGAGAAACGTAGCCGGTGCTTTAATCTTGGTGTGAGACAAATTCCTATGGGCCATCTCCAATTTGACTTGGAGATACTGTGTTGGGTCCTTTTTGAGCAGAAGCCTGGCAATCTTGTTTTAGGAGTCATAAGCTCTGTGAAAAAGCTGAAAGCAATGTCTTGCTCCTTCCCTCTATTCAGTGACAAAGGATTTGGAGGAATAATCAGTGGCCCAATAATAGCAGTTTTATAGTAACTGTGTAACAGGCTGCCGAGTTAGATCTGAATTGAAAAACAGGGTTTAATTTAGGGCTTGGATTTTATGTTTGTATTTAGCATTTCAAATATATTTTCACATCTTTATTTGTACAACTTCTGCAGTCCCTAAACAATGTGGGCTGAACTGGAACCTCAGCTGAAACAACCCTCAGAGGTTTGGGGTATTTGAAGTCTGCATCTTGACCCAACTCTAAACAGCTATGGCTTGGACCAGTTTCTAGTTTAAATCCTTTGGAGACTATGGGTGGGATTTTCAAAGAAATCAGAGGGTGTTGAACAGTCATGTCCCTTAGGCTTTTCAAAAATGAGCCTGTATACTTTATTTTCTTCCTGAATTTTCCCCTGACTTTAGAGTCTGGAAGAGGAACGCGCCCTAAAGGTTAAGATCAAGGTAAATGGATACAGAGTAGATGCTTGTGGTTCTTCCTTAGCTTGACCTTCAGCTAAACTCTTCACTGTCTGTGCTGTGATTTCCTTCTCTGGTCGAGAGGGATAACAATTCTCGGTGCCTGCAGCCGGACTTGATTGAAGAAGTTGCTTTTCGGCCTTGGAGAAGGGTCTCAAGTTTAATCTCTACTGTGATCTTTATAGAATGGCCCCACTACATTTTACCTGATATCTGGAGATTCTTGTATATTTGCAGGGCTTTATAAAAGCCCACAAGATATACACACATGCTCGCTCCTTCATGGAGGGTCCTTGCAAGATTTGTTCTCTCCCATGCTAGGTCATTTCCAACTCGGTGTTTGCATTGCTGTAGGCTGGTTAGTTCAGACACCCGAGTTCAACACGAGACTCTGCTCCCCTCTCTCACCCCACCCCGAATCTGGGAGGATCGATCTGAGCAATGGGGGGAAGATTAGAGCATTGACCCTCATGAAGAGGCTGACAGTAATAAATCAGTCATGAGTATTTCCCACAGTGGAAATACATGCAGGCACTTTCAGCCTTAAAAAAGTAATAATGGATTTTTCAATCAGCTTGGCATTTAATGTGTCGGTGACTGTAATAAACACAAACAAGCCATTAGACCCAGACAACATGTTTTCACTTGTTTAGCAACTGTCCAGACTTTGACTGGGAGTTGCCTAAATAAATGCAACAGAAAAGCATAAAGCATCTCTGTCTCCTTCTGGTTGCTCACTTACATACCTTACTCTGTGTGTGTACCCTGTCTGGAGTAACAGAGCCCTTGTCTCTGCTAGGGCCACTGCAAGCTCTTGTAATACATATCTTGCTATCAGACAGCCTTGCAAACTGTCTCTCTGCCCCTTATCTATCCCCCTCTCTCCCCCGCCCCTGCATCTCATCTGCTATTTTTTAAGTTTCTCTAAGACAAAGCCTCATCCCTTTGCTTGATTGCCTTCCAGCTCCCTGTGGAGGTATCTTGACAGGACCGACAGGAGTGATCCTGTCCCCGCAGTACCCGGAGCCCTACCCGCCGGGGAAGGAGTGTGACTGGAAGCTGACCGTCTCTCCTGATTATGTCATTGCCCTGGTATTTAATACGTACGTACCTGAGAGCTCTTTGGTTCCACTTCTGTGGCTGCCTGTGGGGATGGGCAGAGGATGCCAGCGGTGGGGCACTGCCTGGATGAACTGGGTCTGCACAGGGGTCCTTTCCTCTCTGAAGGAACCAAACCTGGTATGACTGTCCCATAGTCCTTGGTAATCTGTTCTCAGATGTTACCTTAGTTTGGGAGAAGATGCACATATTTCAACTGTAGCTCCTCTTTGATATACCCATGGTTTTACAGAACATAACCGTGGAACTTGTACAGCATAGAAAGCCCCTGCAAGCAACACAGGATTATGCTTTTGTGCTCTTGACTGCATCACCAGTCCTCGAATCCTTACACATGGAACGGAGACAGAAATGTCCTGTACTTAGCTGAGGAGCTGTTTTGGGGCAGAAGCAGTCTCTCAGCTATGTAGTTGTACAGCCCGTCAAGACCACAGTCTCTGTTGTTCTCCAGAGGCTGCTGTAGCATGCTCATACTTCAAGCACTCTTCCTTTGGCTTTGCAGCTTCAGTTTGGAGCCTGGCTATGATTTTCTTCATATCTATGATGGACCCGATTCACTCAGCCCCCTGATCGGAAGCTTTTACGGCTCCCAGCTACCCGAGAGGATAGAGAGCAGCAGCAACAGCCTCTTCCTTGCTTTCCGAAGCGATGCATCAGTCAGCAACACCGGATTTGTCATTGACTACACAGGTAAGACCTGTCTGGGGATGCACCTGGCCCAGCTGACTCAGCAAATATGTGGGATTTTACCTGCATTTATTCTCAGGTTAAACTACCTAGCTGAAAACCAAATGGGAGAAGCTCTAAAAACTGTGGAAACCTCTCTTCAGGCAGTAATCCTGCTGTCTGTTTTGCTACCACGAAAGCTGATTAAGAGGCATGGGAGGGAAAATTGGGAGTTGAAGAGAGGGGATCCTATAGGCTGGCAGGAGAGCCGGGGAACATAACGTAGATAAGAGCAGCATAAAAGGACTGTTACGTGGCTGAGGATCAGTCACATGTGGCTGCTTCTGTGTGGGACTTTCATTAACAGAGAAGAAAATTTCTACATCTTTTTTTCTTTAAAGAAAATGGGAGGGAGATTCCCAGAAAGTATGTATTTATGTACATTTATGTGCAATCTTTCTTGCTCCAGACTGAATTTAAATAGTTCTATCTTCTTAGTGAGCAGAATATGCTGCTTCGTTGCAGATTTGAGCTTTCAGAGTACTAGAGAGTGCTGAATTGTTAACTGGTTATTAGGAATGCTCCACATTGCCATTGATTTCAGATTTATTCTTGGTGGCAAGAGCAAGAAAAGGAGATGCAGACATACATATCCAATATGGGATCTCGGTCTGAATTCCTGATACTGTCAGTCAAGAGCGTACCAAATGATTGGGTGGCTATAGCTAGAGGCGAGGATCATGGAGGTGGATGCTCAGCTCTCTTGAGTCAGTGGAGCTCTCCTGAAAGCTGTGCGTTTTTGCTTTACTTAAGATTCTAAAGCATCTACTTAAAAAATCACTAATAACTAGTAAAATGAACAGAATAGAGTGAGTTCACAGGTATCTGTGGTGTTAGAGCAGTGGCTTTTTTTTTTCTTGCTTGCTTGAGGAGGAACTAAAACATTGTGGTGGCTTCAGCTCTAATGGCGAGAGACAGGGGCAGTGGTTAGAGTTTTCCCTGTGTGCTTTTAGCTCTCTGTCGATGGAGCAAGCTGCAAAGTGACAGACCTGGCACTGCTGTTCTGGGAGATGGGGAAAAAAGGGAGGCTTTGGCAGAGTGTGTTCCTTGTTTGTGCGTAGGGTAGGTGGAAGAATGGAGTTGTTTACAAACCGTAGTAAAAAATACGCTCTGAAAAGCTGGATCTGATGAGCTGGATTACACAGAATGGAGAAAAGGATTAAAAACTGGGGAAAAAACAGGGCTAGAAAGAAACGATTCTTCAAGCCTGCTCTGGCCTATATGGACTAGATTGCAGTGTGGGACGAAAGCATTGATGGCTTCAGATGTACTGGATGCGTGCCACTATGAAACATGGCTTTGCATCCGTGGTGTACGCTGTGAAACAGGCTGTTGAGTCTTGTTGGCCCAACTGTGTGCTGTGGGAGCAGTAATAGCTTGTGCTGGAGAGCTGACGGGCTGCTGCTGTGTTTCCAGTGCTGCTGCTGCTTTCTCTGTGTGCTTGGGCAATTCTCTCTTCCTATACCCTGTCTCTGGTCTGTGGTTCCTGCTTTTGAATTTACCTGACCAGAGGTGAAATCATAGTGAAATGGCAATTCCTATTAGTTACGCTGAACAGATTAATTTCCCTCGGTAAAGTTACGAAATAATAAGACAATCAGCACTGCTTAAGATTCAAGAGATTAAAAGTTTTCTGCTCTCATTAGAATTAATTTTACTGAAAATTAAGTCTTGGGGTTTTTTTCTCTTCCTCTTTCTTTTTGGGCAGCCAGAAAGTAGTTAACAAATGAAATCTCATTAAATTAGGGTGGTTGTGTGATGCGTTGTTCTCCTAAACACTCCTACAGTGTTAATCGCGCCTACATACTTCCCACAAAGCCAAACTGCTGGGAGAAAAGAATGAGGCTTTAAGTTTGCTCATTAATTTCCCCGCACTTTAAAAGGAACCTGGGATTCAAGTCTGAGAAGCGGCAGAAAATAGAACTTTGGGGAATCGGAGGAAGAAGAAAAGAAAATGCAGGAGGGAGCATGTGTGAAAGAAAATCAAATACCGAGCTCGGCTCCTTGCCAGCGTGGAATCCCAAGTACAGTTCAAAGACACCGTCTTCTCTCAGCCGCCTCATTGTGTTTGGTCAGTGCTGCAGCCCACACAGGCTTCTGCCCCAAGCTCCCTAAATACCATATATCACCTATGTCAGCTGTGTGCGAAATACTGTTAATTACCAGGGGCTTTGTAGTCTTCTTTCGGTAATGTTTGGGGGAAAAAAAACAAAGCAGCCATCTGTCAGTCGCTCCTTGAAATCCTGAATCTTCTCTGGGACTGGGACTGTATCGCTAGCCTGCAGCCATGCTGTGTCGGGTGAATTTCAAACAGCCTCAGCACTTCATTTGAAATTGTTTCAGGGGCAACGGCTCTTCAAGAGAAAGTTGTCCTCTGGGGCCAGGAGGAATGGAGAAAACAGAGAGAGAAGAATGAATTTGGCTTTTATTACGCCAGTTTTTGCATAGAGCATGACAGTGAGAATGAAGTGGGAATGCAGCAATGCCATAGAAAGGTGTTTGAGGGCAGATCTTCAGCCAGGCAATTTCCCAGTTTAGCTACACTCATATAGTACACCAGCAGGATTTCTGATAGATTAACTCCTATATTTTGCTTTGCACCCATGATGCACTGTCAGCTGTGCAGCAGAATGAAAAATCAAAGTAAGGTTGCCAGCGAAGAAACCTTAAGTGTGCTTTCCCCCCACACTTAAATTTACAGAGGTTTGGTTTACTGCCTGCACAAAGCCTTGGCTTGATTCACAGGGTCAGGTGAAACTTAAATGCAATAGTTTGGGATTTCAGCTGGGGAGGAATTTATTCTTGGGATGACTTAGCAGTAGGGAGTAGATTTTTTGGATTCAGGCTGGTTCCTGAAAAGGAAGACATGCTCCGCTCAGGCATCCCGTTTAAGATCTGTTGAAGTTACCATAATCCTTAACAAAGTGCTTGTTTGCAACACCAGCTTAGTTAACGTTGTCATTTCTGTGAAAGCAGTGAGCTGTGTTCGTAGCAAGTTCGCTTGAGCCCAACAAGAATTAGTCTAACAAAGCAAAAGGATAAGTTCTTGATTACAAAAATAGGAAAGTCAGTTACAAAACAAAAGCTTAAACGCAGGAAAGAGGTGGCTTGCAATATACCTAGAATTTATCTCTTGTTCCAGTTGTTGTTTAAAATTTTTTTAAGTGTCTCAGCTACAGAAAACTAAGGTTTTTACCTCAGTATCTCTGAGGTAAAATACACGTAGTATCTCTACATGTATTATCTTTTGAACCAGGATAATATTTGTGTGTCTTAGTTACACTTGGGAGATTTCTGGTTACAGAGCAACACTGGATAAGTTTCAAAACCTGTTTCCAGTCAATTTAAAAGACCCCCTGGTATGAGGGTCTTCCATTAAGCTGCATTTGCCAGAAAATGCTACCAGAAACTCTCTTAAATTTGGCCAGGGATGAATCTCTAATGTGAAGATTATCTTTTCTGATTGGGAAACCAACTGAATTCCAATAATCAGTTTACATTGCAGCATCTCACAAACCACAGGTTTTAAGATACATTTTATGTATTGATAGACTGATATTTTTAAATTGAGACCACGCTTTGTTAGTAATGTAAAGGGCAGGGTAGTCGTTTGGAGAGCCTTTCCCAAATTAATCCCCCTCCCTATATTCTGTTGTCATGGTTACAGAAGCAGGTCAAACTCCATCAGTCACTGCCTCCATCCGAGCAACGTATCCTGATGGGTTGGCGCTGAATGGGACCCAAGGTGCGCGTTTAGGTTTGGCTCCTCGTGCTGGGGGCAGAGGGTGGGAAGGAGTTTCCAGGCTGGATACTCCGAAGCAGGAGGTTTTCTCATGCTTTTTAGTACTTCCTGTTTCTGTTGTGGGCCAGAAGTGAAGAGGCGTGAAATTGAAAGCAAATGAAGCAGAACTGATTACTTTTCACCCTTCCAAAGGAAAGGGGAAAAAAAACCCCACCAAACCCCAAGCCTTACTTCAAATCCGTTATTATTTCACCAGAACTATTTTGCCTATCCTGAGCTTATAAACATATATTCAGCATTACTTACGGGTTACTTAAGGTGGAAATTCCCCACAGAAACACTATTCTGTAAAATCCGTTGCAAAGCAAGCTGTTTAAAAACATCCAGTACTGTTTGCTGTTAAAACGGTCGGACATGGGAGGTGGCGCTTGACCCTAAAACAACTTGCATTTGAAAAACAGATCTGTCCTTTGGAAAAGGTAGTCCGTTTAGCTGGGATGAGTCGGGGGATGCTGGGCTCTGGTGAGCTGGTGTGGCAGCAGGCAAGCAGCTCGGGCCAAGGCTGCACCTGGTCTTCAAAATCTTCAGTATCTGATGACTGTTGTGAAAGAAAAACTGTCTTCTAGACAATTTCTCCTGGGGTTGCTTTAAGGCTTCGCTCTTTTTAAAGGCTTGCACATGTTCACAGATGTGGGGTTCATGATGTGCTGGGTGGACAACTGCTCTCCGGTGAAGCTGTTCTCGAACATACAGACGAAAGCCTGACCTCCTGGTCTAGGAGCTTATGCAGGCTTTGAGTTTTTCTTGGGAAAGGAGAGAGGAAACACAGAAAATTCTGCTTTCTGTGGACTAATGAGCCAGTTCTCATGGCATTTTTGTCTTGACTCTTTTCTAAACATTTGGCAGCCTGAATCCATGTTAATTGGGACATCAGGGTAAAGTCCTCGATTTCTGAAGTGTCTGAGTGAAAATAAAACATTAATTCTAAATGAGCAAGCTGTGCTGTACTCACTTCATAGCCTAATAAATCAAAGGCTGGGAAAGCTGTGGCTTTCCCACATCCCTCTACGAGTCTTTTGCTGTCACCACGCAACCAAATACTTCCTTAAAGTTGAGCTCCTGCCTCCCTTTGTAGCCTACTGCTGAGGATCATCGGGGCAGTTCATCTGCAGAGGAGTGTTCAGCTGGAGATATGCGTAGGACTAGTGTGTCAGGATGCATCGTCCTCTAAGGTGAGTGGTGTCCCTGAAGGCACAGACCCTCAAGGGAACAGAGAAACAGTCAAGAATGAGGAAAACGCAACAAAAGCAGTGGGGCTGTTGCTCAGCAATCAGCCACCACCTTTTTTTTCAGCAGTTGACAGAGTGACTTGAGCACTGAATGTCATGATTTTTCAAAGCAAGAGCAGAGGCTGAGATCAAGCACATGGCTAAGACATCTGACAGCCAGGTGGGAGGGTGATTGACAGGTTGAAGCCACATCAACTTGTTAGATGAAAGGCAGTGAGAGTGTTCAAAATAACGAGAGGCATAAAGTGGTCAGAAGGAAGCCGTTGGGTGCAGCTTTTGTATGAAAGGGTCTAAAAGTGAATATTAGCAATTCAGAGAAATAAAGGCTTGTGGAGTGAAAAAATATTTTGGAAAAGTAGATGAAGAATTTACACTTTCAAATGGCTTGTGTGCTACAGTGGACTCTGGGCCATGCAACTGCACTGCTCGTCTTCGGTGCCCTGGTTGACTGATGCCCAGAAGCAATTCATCACCTCTGTGGGCTGTGATGACCAGTCTGTACAGGAATATTCCGTTGACTTGTAGTAATGGTAAAGGGTCACTGCTCCAGCTACGGCTGATGTCTCACAAGCATAAGGATGAATGAGGAGGGAATGTGTTCACCTGAGCTGACCAGAGAGCCAAGGGCTTTGCTTTCCAGTGCTGTGACTGAAACAAGCTTTTTGGTCCTGATATCTTACTCATAATAATCAAGATTTCTTTTTTGTGTCTAGCTGGTGTCTCAGCAGGACCTACTGACAGATCACAGACAGGAAATAATGGGATAAAAATATTTGTTGAATTCTTTTGTCTTAGAACCCCAATCTTCTCCGTCATGTTCTGAGTATCAGAGCTCTCTCTTGAATGCTGCGGTAATCATGCTTCTAGGCACATGTGTGTCTCTTCCCAGGATGAGATAAACTGGAACATCTTGTTATTTCGTTGGGGAACAGGGTTGCTCAAAGGAAAAGTGGCTTGTCCAAAGTTCGTGCAGCAAGACACCACTAACGTAGAGGAGAACCCAGGGCTTAATGATTTAAAGTTTGATGATACAAGTGTGTGATGGTCTGTGAGGAGCATTGAGGTTGACCACTCTGTGGCTCCCAAAGTAGGGAACTGGTGTCCTAGGAAAAACCGTTGGCCGTACTTCTGCGGGTCAGGGCAGCTGTTCCTGGTGGAAACATTTCACATCCTCTTGTGCCCTGTTTACCTGGATCGCTAGCTAGTGGTACAGCTGTTGTGTAAAGGAGACCATAGAGCTAATCCTATTTTTCACTGCAAACAAAGAAACAAAAGCAAGATCTGGGGGTTTTACTGTTTTCTGCTTCTCCCTCCACCACTTCCCCAAATACTAAAAGCCCATGATTTAATGCTTAGACACATTATAATTGTTCACAGACCCACTGCTCTCAGAAAAGCCCTCATCTTTAATGAGCTATTTCCAAATGACAAAAGAGCAGGATTAATCAAAGCCTCTAATTATATTTCATGCAGGAAAAAAAAAAAAAGAAAAAAGCCCTCAGAAGAAGGAGGAAAGAAATATCCAAGTCCTGACAGCTCTGTAGTCTTTACTGGAGTTTTCTTATGTAAATGGGGTTTTTAACTCTGCAGGGCATAGTGAACAGAGAAAAATGTCTTCATTTTGTCTAACTGCTTGTAATCATTTTGCCATAATTGCAGCCGTGCTGCACATCTGGAGAGTCAACCAGCTAGCACATGGCACTATGTATTTCCATGGTGAGAGCAGGCAGCTCTTCGATGTGGGAATGATAGGTGCCAAAGAGATAATGTGAACAGATGTAGCACATCTGAAATATGTTGCGTGTTCAATCTGTGTTTATATGCCCTGGTTTGCAAAGTTCCTTACAGCCCGTCCCCTGTGCAAGAAAGGAGAGCGAGTGTGGATAGTTAAATCAAAGCTTTGCCTCCTTGATTGGATTTTGGGTAGCAGTAAATATGTGTGTGAACTGAAGCCTTCTTTCTTCCAGTATACTGTGCTGGAGCTGAGCATCAGAGAATGCTCTGGACCAGAATCTGACCTGTATAATTCCCCAGATTCAGCAGCATGAGAGAATGCTCGCAATCTAAACTGCAAATGGTACTGGTCTTTATGCTTAAGTGGGATTCCCAGATGAGAAAAGCCAAAAAACATGCCGTTGACCAAAATTTTAGAGTAGCTGTATCAGACCAGTAAAGATCTTGGCAATTTTCTCTTGCAGAAAATCCCCGGGAGTCATGCTTCGATCCTGGATCAATTAAGAATGGCACACGAGTGGGTACGGATCTGAAGCTGGGATCTACAATTACCTACTACTGTGACGGAGGGTATGACATTGAAGGGGTCTCCACGCTGACGTGCGTAATGGGCGGGGATGGAAAACCCACGTGGAACAAACCTCGACCTACCTGTACAGGTAAGGCTCAAGGGGAAAAGGTGAGTAGAGAATGATCTGCCTGTCACCAAATACTTCAGCAGTTTATCCTAATGCAAAGCTTGATGTCATGTTTGCATAGAGCTGCTTGCAAGGGGACAGAGGTGTGTGTTCTCAGTGTTTCATAATTTTTCTTTTTTTTTTTTAACACCCTGAGGTTGGAAGAGCTAACTTATATGTGAAGTTTCTTGAAACTCCGTTTGAGGGAGAGAGAGAGAAAACTGGACAGAACAGATTATCTGCATGACAAAACCTGCATCCTAGTGCAGGGCAGGATTCAGGAAGCCACTTAAATGTTTGCTTAACCTGATCCCTGCTAAACAAAGCCCTGAAGCATGTGCTTTCCTTGAAACTCCTTTTGAGAGAGAGAGAAAACTGGACAGATTATCTGCATGACAAAACCTGCATCCTAGTGCAGGGCAGGATTCAGGAAGCCACTTAAATGTTTGCTTAACCTGATCCCTGCTAAACAAAGCCCTGAAGCATGTGCTTTCCTGAGCGGGGTCAGAGTTTATTGAGAAAACAGAAGGCAATTTTTTCTTACGGGTTCTGTGGGGTTTTTTGTTTTGTTTTCTGGCTTAATGAGAAAATGGTTCAAATGATGGGTTTGCAGTCAGACCTTCTTAATCTGAGAAGTGAGTCAAGAGATAGCTGTCAGTCTGTGGTGACTGGAAGAATGAAATCTCCGACGCAGAAAGGCGCTGGCGGGGAGGACGCCGTTCCCGCTGGAGCCAGGCCCCTGCCACTGAGAAAAGGTGAAAAGAGTAGTAGGAGCTTGTTCTGTCAGGTCCTGAGCTTTAAGGTCGGCTGGAGAGCAGTGCGAATCACACATTAGGCTACGACACCATACACGGCATCCCTTAGCCTTGCCGTGGTCTTGATAATTAAATGTGAAGCAGGCATGAACTCAGGTTAGGGTAAGCCTTGCTTTTCTTAAGTAAAGCGAGAGCTGCAGTGCCTGAAGTGTGGAATCGGTCGTGGCTGGGGGCAGCTGACGTTGCACGGCGTTACAGCGCGCGGGCGGGGGTGGATCTCAAAGCAGCAGGAAAAAGGCTGGTGTTTTGAGGCGGGCTTTGGTAAGGGTACGCTCGGTGATCTCTTCTTGACTTTCTCTTACAGCACCCTGTGGCGGTCAGTACACAGGCTCCGACGGCATCGTCCTCTCTCCAAATTATCCCCAGAACTACACCAGCGGACAAGTCTGCCTGTACTTCATCGTTGTGCCAAAGGACTATGGTATCGTTTCTGGATGGTTTTTGAAAATCTGTCCTACTGTAATGCAACTCTCTTGTTTGGGTTTTTTTGTTTGAACAAAGCAGTAGAATAAGTGCATATATAAATGGAGATAAGGGAGATTGGAAAATAAATGCTATGTGTACGTCGCTGTAGTCGGTAAGGATGATGGGAATTTTCTGAAATTCAAAATCTGTCAAAAAGGAGGGGACAAAAAAACCCAAGCCTAACAAAAAACACCATCTTGCGATTCCCCTTCCAGTTCCTGCACTGTATCCAGTCATGCAGAGTTGAAAAATCAGCAAAAAAAAAATATTCATCTTGCGATTCCTTCCAGTTCCTGCACTGTATCCAGTCATGCAGAGTTGAAAAATCAGCAAAAAAAAAATATTCATGGTGATTAATGTTAGCAGCAGACTCAGAGGACCTCCGAGAGTACAAAATGTATTTACCATAAACATATGCTAACTGTGGTGCTAAATAATCTGTCTGCGCAGAGAAGCACATAAATGTATAGTTTTGTGGATGTGCAGCTATGGTACTTATGACTAATTTTTATTTTTAAATAACATGTAAATTAAATTTTAAAACTAGATCCAAACAAAAGCCAGATCCATTTAAATGGACCGGCGTTCTTTTTATAGAGTCCAGTGCTGCTTAATTTTGGTCAGAGCTTGAATACAAGAATGATTGATGTTCTAGAAACCTTTGAGGCAGCTAGCTGGATATTAGTACTGGTTAACGTATTTTCTTGTTTGAAGGAATTTAAAGTTCTTAAAGAGCACTTGCACTGACAGCTCTGGCAGGTGAAGGTCTCTAAATTCTGTTATTTGATACTGCTTCTCGGTGTGTTATATTGATCTAGACAGTCCCCACGGTCTTTTCGGTTGTTTGTGGTTTCCTTTGCTAAGATAGCAAGGTGTGACATGAGGGTGCTATGTACAGACGTGGGTTATAAGCTCCTTTCACTCGAATTGCCCTTCTGCCTGTGTGCAGGTAGTTACAGCGGAGTTCCTGGATCTAACTGATGAAATACTGCACTGTTCTCTTACACCTCTTAACGTGTTTTGCTATAACTGATCTTGATACATAGAAACACAATAAGTAGAGGGCTAGACAGTCTTGATCTGCAAGTCTGACTTTTGCCTATGGTAGGATGACAGCTAAATGAGTTTCTCTTCTCCACCTGCTAGCTTTCCATAGCTTCATTAAAAAAAAGCAGGAAAACCATTAGTGGTGAATGTTACACATTTCCCATCTCTTTCACTTCTCAGATTCTGTGTACAGCAGGCATCAGGGTGTGCTATTGTCAATTTTTCAGTGTTCCCAGCATCAAAGCTGTGCTGGAAACCTGAATGTGCAGGAAACAAATGTCATAGCTTGGTGGATGATGAATTTCACAGCAAGAGACCTCTCAGCTTGTGAATCTGCAACTGGGCACTTACAACTTGAAAATGCAAAGCTAGGAGAAGGAGACAAAGGGGAGGAAAAAATCTTCTAAGTACAGATTTGGGAGGAAAAAAACCTGCTATTATATTCTGAAAAATAAAGATAAATAACTAAAGTCTCTTTGTTCTAGCTAAAAAAATGCTCTGATCCTCTCATTATTTCCTCCCTTTTATAAGCTCTGTCTGCTCCTTGGTGCATTTACAATGTATGCAGTAAGACCCAGAGCACTGCACGGCTCCCTCGTTAGCAGTCTCTGTAGACAGGCTTAGGACTGACGGTTAATAAAATTGTGAGTGTCCTCTGTCCCTAGCTGTCATCCTCCCTGACCAGAGAGGTTCAGTCTAGAAATCGAGTTCTTCAGGATGGGGATTGTTATTTTGTTCAGGTTTTGTACAATGCCTAACCCAGCGCTTCATGACAGAGGTTCAATACAAATAATAAATAATAATTATCAGTTGGTGAAATTATATACCTTGTGTTATGTAGGCAGGCAAATGGGATGACTCATAAAAGAATCCCTTTTGGCCTATGAATCAGTGTTAAAGCATATTGGCAAGTGAACACGGGGGAGGCTGGTTGCTGCTTCTGTTATGCCTACTTTGTGGATAAATAAAGGGCTCCCATCTTCCAGGGCTGTCAGTCAGGCCCTTTTTATCTTTGCCAAACTCCTGAAATAAAAGAAGGTGAAATGCCTCAGCTCCAGGCCTCGGCTGTGTGGGGACAGCAGTGCGGCTCATCCCGCTGCCCGCCCCGACCGGTGCTCCCTCTCTTGGCAGTGGTCTTTGGGCAGTTCGCCTTCTTCCAGACCGCGCTCAACGACATCATCGAAGTCCACGATGGCCCCAACCAGCACTCCCGGCTCCTCAGCTCCCTCTCGGGCTCTCATACAGGTAGGGAACGTGTCCCTGTTGCTGCTGGGAAAAGCGAGTCAAAAATACAGCCTGCCATTTAACACCTTGTTCTGTGCATCCCATTTGTGTAGCTAATGCTGTAATCTCTGTCTCTCCTGTTTTATCTCTTTCTCCTCATCTAGGTGAATCTTTACCATTAGCTACCACCAACCAGATTCTCATAAAATTTAGTTCCAAGGGTCAATCTACGGCCAAAGGTTTTCATTTTGTCTACCAAGGTGAGTACCGTTGTGTTCTGGAGATGTCGTCAGGTTGGTCCCGAGATAATGCTCAAAAATACAGTGATGTCTTGAAGTGTCCTGAACTGCTTTTGGTGTCTGTGGGTCCTTGCACGCCTTCTGTCTGAACAGGAAATGTCACAGGAGATTAAGATTATTTTGGTAGCAGTGAACTTGCAGGGCTGTCTGGCTTCTGTAGGTGCTTTGTATTCAGACCTTCCATTTTCACTCAGCTTCAACCCTCGCACGTCCCAGGATTAGTATCAGAAGTATCTCATTGAATCATGCCCTAAGTACACAGTGAGTTCTTGAGATTTATACCCAAGCAATTTTTCCTACTGGCGTTTTAGCATATTTCTCGGTGTAAGCAGCTGAACGCTTGTCTAGCAGCTCTGTAAAATCCTTCCTCTCCGAGAGTCATAGGCTTAGGTCTCCTGCTGTCAGACTTTTGCCCCTTGATCCTTTCAGTAACAGCTTGCATTGCATTGGGCAAGTCCCACTTAGAGATTTTAAAGTAGTAAATAGAAAGTGATGCACAGAATAGTGGGAAAACAGAAGGGCTTTCTCACCCACATGCTTTGTACAGCTATCTGTGGTTCAGCCAAGCTTTTACATGCACGTTACTGTAAAGTGGGGACAGGCAGCAGGGGCAACCTGTGCCTTCTCCAGGGGCGAAGTGAAGCATGATTTGGGTTTTATAGTATCCAGCGATTTGTTCTCTTGAATTTCTGCCTAATTATTGTAAAACGACTGTAGTTCTGATAGTAATCTTTAAAGATTTCAGCAAAGCAAAGGTTTTGATGAAATCAGTAAGGATTACCTCCTCCCTCCTGCATGCTAATTATGAGCTGCACACTCTTCAGTGATTACTGCGTGGAAAGCAGGAGTAAAAGAAAGAGCCAGCCCTGGTTTTGATCTGCCTGGCCAGGCTTTAATGGCATTTCCTCTCATTTTTACACAAACAAGGAGTTCTCTCTCCCAAAGCCTCCCGCATCAGCCTCCCCCATCCAGTGATGCACGTGTATGGCAAGCTCCCCCGAGGTGAAGGAGGCGGAAGCCTGAAGCAGCGTGTTGAAAGCAGCCTGAACTGGAGAGCGGAGCTGCAGGGTCAAGCACCCAGGCACGATTCTTTCCATGGTTTGGAAAGAGGCCAAGCACGTGCTCGTCGGTCACAAATGGCTGAGCTGGGGTTATGTGAGCAGGGGTACAGATCCATGAGTATTTTGGCTATCTTGGATTTGCCCAAAGTAGTGCATCATCCTAAGTGGCTCCTTTCTGCCTCTCCGTTCCCCTCCCCAGACCACTGACACACTTCAGCTTCTTGCTGATCATCTTGCCTGATGCCTTTGACAGCGGGTTTGACGTTCATCTCTCTGAATCAAATTCAAATCAAACACTATAGCTAATGCGCTCATCATCTTTGTGTTTTCCCCCCTTCCAGCAACTTGGGCGTTAAACACTAATAAGTTGTAAAGCAACTCAGAGAAAAATCTAAATTGATTTCTTCTTCAGCAATAGACATTTCTGTGACTCGTTTCTCCCCTCACTTATCTGTCAGACTCTCCATTTCTTTCTTTGACTGTTGTTTCCAGTATTGAGCAGGAATGCAGGCAATTTCAACAGTTGGTGATGCAGCATCACAACTTAAATTCCCCTTTTCTTTCTCTTACCCTTCTCATCATGAAGAAGATTGTTTAGAATTGCTGTCCTTTATAGTAATGAGGCCAAGTGAGCTGAGAAACCTGAAGGGTTTTCTGCTGAGGCTCTAGCATTATATGGCAAACCAACTTTTTGGAAAGTCGCGGCTGAATGCCTTGGTTTCCCTATTATAAATGACCTTTCTGATGTGCTGATAAGTTTTCTGAAGGCAAACAGTCTCATCTTAGAAAGCATGCATGGTTCTGTAATGTCCTAGCTGCTTTTACTGCTGTTACTTACTCAAGTAACACTTGAATTGACAGAAGTTTGAGTGAAATGTTATTTGTTTTTCTTCTCAATGGTCATGTTTGGATTCAGCCGCTCTCTGGGCTTTAGGTATAATCAGATTCCTATGTTGTTTTTAACATATCTTTAACTTGGTACTTCATATTTCACGTTTGCTCTAACCGTTTTTCGTTTTGTTTTTGCTTTGCAATTGCACACTCCCCTGCTGGTTCCTCCTGTCTGCAATGCAAGCGGTTCCGCGGACCAGTGCCGCCCAGTGCAGCTCGGTCCCGGAGCCTCGCTACGGCCGGCGGCTGGGCAGCGATTTCGCGGTGGGGGCGGTGGTGCGGTTCGAGTGCAGCGCTGGCTACATGCTCCAGGGCTCCCGGAGCATCGAGTGCCTCACCATGCCCGGGGCACTGGCTCAGTGGAACGTTTCGGTACCCACCTGTGTGGGTAGGTATCTTTGGGTTTTGGGGAAGTCCAGACAAAGTGGTTCAGCAGTTTGTGCTAGAAAAATAAATTACATCCTTTGGGGTGGTTAAAAAAAACACAGACAGCCCACAACACAAAACCAAAACACCAACGAAACAAAAAACCCCCAACTATTTCATACCTCCTACATACAAAAGCCAGGCCTGCCTATGAACAAGGGCAGTTAACCCCAAATGTCAGGGAGGGGACCTTTTGATCCAATACTCAGTTGTGGGATCTGGCACAGCATCTAGAGTAAATTAGATCTGTCTGAAAGCTGCTTTCATCTTTGGAGGAGAGCAGTTCCTAGAGAACCGGTCTCGTGGGCTGATGTACCCAGTGTTCCCCACACCTAAGGGCTGTGCACTGCTTGTGTTAGAAGTTATATGAGAGATTTACTGAAAAGAGGATTATTCAAACAAACCTTATCCTTAAATCATGAGCCAATTCTGCTTGCTTTTTGTCCATGGACAGATGTTTTAAAGAGAATGTTTTAGTATAAAGCCAAGTCCTTCCATGTTCAAGCATTACTTTGCTTATTTCAGTGCCATGTGGTGGAAATTTGACTGAACGCAAAGGAACCATCCTGTCCCCTGGCTTCCCTGAGCCATACCTGAATAGCCTCAACTGCGTGTGGAAGATAACAGTCCCCGAAGGAGCAGGAATACAGGTACAGTGTTAGCAGCTGTCGCTGCAGCGTGAGCTAGAGAGGAGAACGCACAGTATCTGGTGCACTTAAAGAGGCCACGTGTTACGAAGTTGCTGCTCCTCATAGGAAAGAGATCGATTGAATGTGTAGTTCTCTGGAATCAGACATTCATTTACACTATGACTGCCAAAAGCGGGTAATATTTCAATGGATTTTTGCCTCCTGGAAGCACTCTCCGTGGGAAATCAACTGGAGCCATGCGGCTGTTCTGGTGTAACAAAATAATTGTGGTATTTTGGGCATATATTTTTATACTGCTTAATTATGCAATGTTGAAAGCAATGAAAGCTACACCAAGGAAGAGTTGCTTGCTTGGAGTGCCTGCGTGGATTTGTTATGCCAGCAGAGTTGCAGCAGTGTGATTATACAATTACAGCTTTGCTGTTCATTGTCTCCAGGTAAATGAGCTCTCTCTGTGGTCCCTATCATTCCTCTGCAGAAATAGTCATGCAGACTAGAGGATGTTGAGAATTAAGCCCAACGTCACAGACCGAACCTTAGATAAAGTTCCCATTCAGCACATACATGCCTTGTCCTCCCAGAAGGCATCTCGCCGTGCGTTGCCCTGACACCAGTTGACGCACAGGATATGGATTCTTTAACAGGTTCATTCATTCCACAGGCCTCATTATCACACGGTTTCTTTCTTCTTCTTTACACCACTTTGTCTGCGAGGGTTTTGTTCATTAAGTGCTTTTATTTCTCTATCGTGTATTTGGCTAATAGACTTGTAGGTGGGTTCCTCTCTCTGCAGCGCTCACAGCTGTTGGCACACAGCAGTTGTGTTTCTCTCAACAGTTTTATTGATACATCAGCTCTGCCTTGCTGGATTGCAGTCCTGCTCTCCCAGAGGGGGGCCTTACCTGGTGCCACCATCATGACTCAAACCGAAACCTGAACCTGGGTCTGGGGTGGCAGAGCTGGTGGGAGCAGCACCGGGGGCTTCACAGCAAAACAGCACAAGCCTGGAATAATATTTTGTGCCCTCTGCCAGGCTTTCACTGTGTCCAGTCCAGCAAATTCCGCTCCCCTCTTTGTTTTTGAAGCCATTTAAAATAGTGTTTTCAAAAGCCTCAGAGCTCACTGTCGATACCTTCCTGTTCATCTGAAATTTTAGCTGTTCTCAAAGCCCCCAAATGGCAGGAGGATCCGTTTAGCTCAGCCAAATGTCTGAACAGTTGAGGCAGTTTGCAAGTTGCTCGGGACTCCTGGGATCAGGAGGTGATAATTCACTTAATTTTTAAAGCGGTGTAAATAGACGGCTGTATTCTGCATTGCCACGTTCTGAATGCAAACCCTCGCTGCCACTTCTCAGCCTGTGGAAGAAGCATGTCTTTATTCCCAAGTACTTGTTTCTCACCTCTTTGGTTGTGCAAATGCGGCTCTCGCATGTAAAACTGGAAAATGTAATGCCAAAGTGTTTTAAAGGTTTCTTTATTTCTTTTTTTTTTTAACCCCTTTCCTGCTGGATGTGATCCCTTGCAAGGGAAATAGATATTTTGGAGTCTAGCACAGACCGCGTGCAAACAAAAGAGTGTATCCTGTGGCTGAGCTTTAACGCTGCCAGAGCCTTAAGTTCAGTTTTTAGGTCTAGAGTGGGAAGGTTTTGGTGAAGGGCAGGACCATGATCCTTCAGTGTAACCCCTTCCTCTGGTGCTTGGCGAGAGTCCGTGTGGACCCGCACCGGTGCTGGGGTCTCCGCTTCCAGCTGTGTGGGGGACACCACGCCGTTGGTGTGCCGAGGGACCCGCCGCCCCTCAGCTCTGCCTTAGACACAGGCCAGTTGCGGGATGGCACCTTCCCTCGACATCAAACCGGATCGCATCAGCTTGTGACACTGGGACTTCCACTGGACGTCTTCTATGGGGGAAAAATGCATTGCGAAAGGTATTGGCCCCCAGGAAGTAGAACAGCCACAGAAAGCCCTGTGCAGGAGCTGTCGGTTGGGGAGCAGCCCAGAGGCAGGGTGATGGCCGCAGAGCTGGACCCGCCAGGCTGCCGCACAGCGGCTGCGTAACCTGCCCCACTCGCATCGGCTCTACTTCCCCAGTCACCCGCTTTTGTGTGCGAGATGTTCTCAGTTATTAGATACTAATTTAAGCATCAGTTTACCCTCATTTTGTACAACAATTAAAGGTTAAACAACTGTAAATCAGAGGAGGAGGTGAAATTAAAGCTTTCTTGGTAGCGGCGAGTCATTGGCAGGATTTTTATGTAATCAGTGTACGAGCTAGCACTTCTGCCATGAATTATTCATTCCTGTGGCAAACCTTCCTGAGTGAATTAATTTATATACATGGCAGCAAATAGATGCAGATCCCTTGTGAATCCACATGTCAGACTAGAATTAGGACCTTAAAAATGTTTATTCCGTTAAGTTGGGGGGCGAGGAGAATAAATAATTTAGAAACTGTAAGAGCAAACAAAATGCACATTCCCAATCCACGTTCTCTTTCAATAATGTAAATCACAATAGGGGTGTAATTATGCAGGCTGAAAGGTATTGACTTGGTCAGTGTGATCAGTAATGGCTCTGCAGGGGTCACTGCAATTTCTGCTAGATGAACTCCACTTACTTTTCTTTAAAAAAAACCAAAAACAAACTAAACAACTTTGTAGGAACTTTATAGCCTGCTTTATTATTCAGAATAAACCAAGGAGGAAAAAGGTTAAAATGGCAGAAATAACGGGGTTTGATTTTTTTTTTTTAAGTGTGCGTGTGTTTTATTTTATGTTTAGCAGGGCAAAGGCATATTTGGAGTGGATGAGTAAATACAGAATAAGAACACTGCAGGAAAAAAGGGAGGGGGGTTTCACAGAATTACCAGAGGGCAGGGTGGGTGTGTGTAGGTGCATGTGTGTGCATGCACGTGCGTGTGCATATGGGTGCGTGCAGTCAGGATTTGCAGGGCGCTGAAACCTCTTCACAGCGTTCAGTCCAGTGAACGTGTCCTGCTGGGCTCTGTGCTTAAGGGAGTAATTCTGTTGAATTCAGCAGGGCGACTGCAGATCACAAGCGTTAGGCTTAGTAGGAAATCTTCGTCCAAAGAGACCTCGAAGAATTGAGGCTCTGCAGTAAGCAGATGTGTGAAGGCTGGAAGTAAAGGGAAATCCACCTGCCCGAATTACCGGCATTCTCCCCAAACCCACCGGCAGCGGCGCCGAACATCTGCGGCTTCTGCTGTGTGCCAAGAAATGAAGCCTTTTGTTTGGGGCCAAGTTGTACAAGCCATTTATGCTCCTGATTTGTCTTTAAGGTTCTTTGCTTAGAAGTTTAATTTGAAGGTACCCAGTGTTTGAAAATGTCGTCTAGAGCTTACAGATTAAAGCTGTTTTTTTCCAAATACTGTTGGCTTTCTCTCAGGTTTGCTGTCTGACCCTCTCGGGCTGTTGACCAACCTTGATCCTACAGCACAGCTTATTTTTCTTAATGGGACACTGAATGCTTTGAACTCCCAGTATTTAGGAATAAAGGCAGCATCCGTTTTAACGGTAATCAAGGAAAACAAATCTATGCAGTTACATGTAGATCTTTGCTCAAGTATAAGAGCTGCTTTTCAGTGTAAATGCAGATTTATCAGATCTCATGATGTAACTCATTTGAGGGTTGCATTGATGTTCTAACTAACAGAGTCAAGTGACTTCCTTAAGCCTCCAAACCTTATGGGGTATGGCAGAGAAAGGTGGGAAATCTGAAAATGTGACTTGAGTGACTTGACTAAAAGCGGAGAAACAAGGCAGCTGCAGAAACTGCATTGGATTAAAAAATCTTGTGGTTTCGTGGGGTTTTCTTTGTTTTTATTTTAGCTCTTGGGTTGCTAGTGGTTGCTCTCATTTGGAAGTGTTGCAAAAGTCTTCAGGGATTTCTCAAAACAGAAAAAAAGGCTCAGATTCTGAGCTGCCGTAAATTAGCTGTGAAATGACAGGAGCTCTCCCTTTGTAGCAGCAGAAGACAGCACCCCCCATACGGAAGTTTGGAGTGTGGAGTTTGCTGGAAAATAGCCGTATAACCCTAATGGTGGTGGTCAAAGGCAATAGGTCCCCGAGTTTTGCCAGTGCGTTAGCGCAGATAAATAGCAGTGCTGACTTCAAGCCCCAGGGTGTGTTGCTAACTTTATTAGTGGCCCTTTCATTGATACTATTTTGGTTTAGCAGCATGATTGCAGGAGCTGTACTGTTTGTTTCTTCTTTTTTCTCTTCAGATCCAGGTGATCAGTTTTGTTACTGAGCAGAACTGGGATTCCCTGGAAGTGTTCGATGGAGGAGATAACACAGCTACCATGCTGGGAAGTTTCTCTGGTACGTGTTCAGCATCATGTTCAGTGAAGCCCATCAGTGCATGCTTAACTCCTGTTCACGTCAGCTGGACTTCAGCACGTACATAAAATTAAGCATACGCTTAAGTGCTTCAGAAACTCGGAATGGATTTAAGCTTGTGCTTAAAGGGAATCGTATGCTTTGTTGAACTGGGAATTTGACTACCATCTTCCTGCAGAAAATGTTGATAGAGAGCCTTAAACACAAAACCAGTGGGGTAGGTTTGGGTTTTTTGTGAAAACCCATGAGCACTTCCACAGCCTGGAAGCGGGAGTTCCCGCAGCACTGCTGGGTTGCCTGGGGTTAGCTCAGACCATTGCGCTTGGCAAGTTAACCTAACCTGGCCGATTTGCACCAAAATGGATGAAGAGCTACAAAACAACCTTTCTTTTGCTCGGCAGTGGGGACCGTGGCTTTTAGCAGAGCAGGGAGTAGCAAGCAGCCCAAGAGCATTGTAAAGCTTTCAAACAGCAGAGCCGCTTGCAAACCGATGGCCCCGATTCTTGCTTATTTAATGAACAGATGTGTTCAAAGTGCTTTGAGGTTGGCAAGGAGAAGGGTCATGCGTAAAGACCCGGCAGACTCTGCTCCCAGCACTGCATTTGGGATAGAACTGCCTTGACCTGGTGCTGCAACAGCTTCCAGGGAATGAGGCAGGAGAAGGAATCCGCACCTTGCGGGCGACCTGCGCTCCACCCATGCTGTTTCTCATCACCGGTTCCCTTCTCGATGCTTTTAATCTGTCTGGTCTGTAAGTGGTAAAACTTCACATGATGAAATTCATCAGTAGACTTTGAAAAGGCCATTGCGGAGAGGCCTTGGGTATTTCTCAATTGGCCTCATTAGAACCTGATCAAAACCAACAGAGCTTGTTAAGTTAAAGGACTTTCTGTTCTCAGCCTTTTCTGTAGCTAGTCTCTGAGGACACGGAGGAGGAAAAAAGAATCCTCTTCAGTATCTTTGTGCACCTCTTGTTTTCCCAGGAACTACAGTGCCTGCGCTGCTGAACAGCACTTCAAACCAGCTCTATCTGCATTTCTATTCGGATATCAGTGTCTCTGCTGCTGGCTTTCACCTGGAATACAAAAGTAAGAGCAATTCAGCCTTGATCTCACAGTTCCTCTGAACGATGGGGAAATGGTTATGGAGCCATTGCCTTGTAGAAGTCGAAGCTGCTTAGTGGGGAAGGTGCGGTGAGCTTTAAGGCCCACGCTTATGTGGTTTCCTGCTCTCAAGTTGCAGAGAGGGAGTGAGCGTTAAATGCAGAATAGATGCAGCAGAGGAGATATGGGGTCATGGGGCGACCCTCATCTTGCTGCTGATGCACTTTGTAGCACCTGCTTGGTTTCTGTGTTGCAGCGCAGGAGGAGTTGTGGAGGCCAAAGTATTAAAAACTCATGGAGAGTTGGCCTGTTCAGCACAGTGCTGTAATCTTCGCTTGGGAAGTGCCTAAAATGATGCTTGCCAGAGGTTGGGAGGGACTGCCTGCTCTTTGCATTCAATATTGGTCATTGCTGGAAACAGCATGAAGGGCTAGACAGATCTTTATAGGATAATTCCGGTTGGAAGGGACCTCAGAGGTTGTCTCATCGAACCCCCTGCTTGAAAGCAGGGTCAGATAAGAGATAAAACTAGATTACTCGCTTTATACATCTTTATGCAGCCTGTGCTTGAAAAACTCCACGGATGGAGACTGCACAAACGCTCTGGGCAGCCTTATGTGACAGGATGAGTGCTGCAACCCCCGGCCATCCTGGTGCTCCTCTGCTGAACTCGGTCCACTTTATCAATGTTTTTCTTGTGCTGCGGGGCGCAAAACTGGGTACAATATTTTAGGTGCTGTCTAATGGGTGTTGAGTAGAGGCGGGGGGTAATTGCCTCCCTCCGTCTGCTGGCTGTGCTCCTGTCTGTACAGCCCAGGACACCGTCAGCTGCCTTCGCTGCCAGGGCACGCAGCTAGATCCTGTTCAGCTTGTCTGCTGGCATGGTATCGCTCTCTGCTTTGTGCTTAGAGGTGCAGCGTCCAGACACTGGACAGCATAATTTCCCTCGTGATTGATACGAATGCATGGCCACCCTCCTTTTGCAGCCTCCAACTCAGGGAGGCACATTGGCATGAACTAAATGGGAAGCTTTGAGATCATGTTCCAAAGGAGGCACTGCAAAGCATAGGCACCCACTCCTTTATCCCCCTGTGTTGTGTTGGACAGTTTAGCGGGTTCATCCGTTACGGATTATGCCGACACCCTGGCAGAACAGCAGCACCTTGCTTCCAGCAGGTCTCATTCAGTTCTCATTCTGGGTATACAGACCTGAGAACAGCATTATATATGATGATATACAGAGACTATGTTTTTAAAAAATCCTCAGTGGTAAGAGAACAAACCTGATTAAAACTGGAAGACGTGGCAGGGAAGAGAGCCTCTTGGGAAAGGGTGGTCAGGTTTGGATAAGGATGCCAAAAATTTGTTCTGCCCCATGTCTGTGTTTTGATTCCTGCTATTGGAGCAGATGTCCGTTCAGGAAAGGTGTGCTACAGCCAAGCTGCAGTGGGTCGCAGTGGTGGTGGCTGTTATCTCGCCGATGGTACTGTACCAAGGGCTTGAATTATTCAGGTACAGTCCGGCAGCAGCACAGACAGTGTACAAGCAAGCAGGTGCAGAATAGCAGCTCTCAGCTCTATTCAGCACATCTAAATTGAATGTTTAGCTAGCAGTCAGGAAAGCAAGCAGGCTTGTGCATTTGCAGTGTACTTAAAGATATGGGTGCGACAGGGCCAGGAGCCGCCGGTCTGGCCTTTGTGCAGCTCTCAGGGGACTGGTTAATGCGTGGCGATGGTCTGGCTCTGTTCCTGCGTTGGTAGCAGTGATGGTGAGCTGATGAGAGATGTGCTGGGACTGCTGTCTCTGTTCACGCAATCTTCCTTGGGGCAATGCAAACATAATTGTTTCTTGCTGGACACCATGTCTGACAATTGGTTCTGATCACAAATCTTGTGTTTGTCTCTGAAGCCAACCAATGTTCTGCTTATTTTTTCCAAAGCAGCAAATAGATTTGAAAGTGTGTTTCATTTTGTAAAATGTCCACGGAAATGGCATAGCTGTTTGACTGCAGAGACTGTGTGCTTTTAGGGGGCCAACTAGTACTAAGCTTTCCGGGTTTTACTGGGTTTGCCGGTAGAAACCTTGCGTATTAATGGATCCAGCAAGATTACAGCAACCAACAAGACTGGGGAAAGAAAGTGTGCCCCAGATTGCTCTCTGGGAGCTGGAGAAATGGATGTTGTTTTAGAAATTCTCTTGCTGCGACTCTATATTTCTTCTCTATTTTTTTTTCAGAAAATAAGTTCTCTGAGGATCATATTACCTCATTGCAACAATCATGTTCAGGTTTTTCATGAGGCTTGGGATTATCAGGCTTGTTTGGTTTCTTTGCTGAGAAAATTAATAGGTGTTGATTTTCAGTGCAGCTGGAAATAATATATTTTTTGCTTTGCTTGTACAATTGGAATTTCACAGCTCTGAGCCCCAGGTTTTGTCTTTGTTCGGTTAGAGGTGCTGCAAGGAAGTTTTGAGAGAGGAGCTAAAACACCAGAGTTTTCCTCCCCTTTCTCCCTCACTGGATTCCTCAAGCAAAGCTCTTATCTCTACGTGCTCAAAAGCCAAAGCAGAGTAAGAACAATTTAGGACTGAGTGCAACTCAGTGCTGCTGACCTGAATCGGAAGTTATTTAAAGCTATTTTCTCTCTTGTCTCTCTGAAGGTCAAGCAATGCAGCCATGTGTGGGGAGGGACTACGTGTTTTCTTGCTGGGAAGCGTGACTCAGGTTTCAGGAGGAGAGTCAGCATCTCCTTTCTCATTTCTTTTTTTCATCTGCTTTCGGCTCAGCTTGCGGACTGTGGGGTTTAAGCAGAGCGTTAGCCCTTGCAGTGATGCAGAAGGTTATCTTTCAGTGGCAGCCACCAGCACGGAGAGCGAGGGAGGTGCTGGCAGGCAGCTGAGCCATGGTGGGTGCGTGGTGACTGCAGGCACCGGTCTTCGTTTTATCTCCGTTTGGTGTTGCAGAAGGAAGAGGGGGTGGCTTGTGTGTAAAGGAGAGTGCATCACCCGCCACACGACTTCAGGGATTGTTAATTGGGTTTGCAGCAGGGTATTCCCAGTTGTAAATGTAGCTCCAGTTGGAAATGGGATTGAATGAAATTTTCGTAGGGTGTTCTGCAGGCATCATCAAGGGCCGGCCACGCTTACTACTGCTTATATCTCATGGTAAATTCAATCTGTAATTGCAAACAGGAAGAATAGGGTTGGAGAACGAAGCCGTGCTGCTTCTGCCCACAAAGGGACAAACTACATACAACGCATTCTGTATGCCCTTGGTATTGCCAGCGAGGGACAGCAGATAGTTCCCTCTTGCATCCTCTCCGGTCTTCTGTCAGATGCTGCCTGGCTGGTAAAGGAGCGTACGCGTAACAGGAGTACGGACCTCGGATAGGGAGGGTTCATGGTGGGCGTTTTGCTTTGTGAACCGTTGAGAATGAGCCCTTTTTTTGCTTTGCAGTGGACATGTGTCGCAGCTGCAGCTCTTCTATCAAGTCATTAGGGTTCAGCCAAAAACATTTTTAGCCACAAATCACAAAATTGTTTGTGACACCTTTGTACATTAAAAAAAGTGTGTTCCAGATAAAGTGAAAGCACTAGACGTGAATACCTTGGCATCCTGGACATGCCCTGTAACACAGGGGAATATACTGCGTGATCAGGGGTGTCTTTGCGGAGAATCCAAAGGCCGCGGGACTTTCCCACCCAGCGTCTGTGGTGGAGGTTGTTGGTAAACAGGGGCCTGGGATAAAATGAAGGTGTATGTTTCCGTTCCTTCTGCCTTCAGCGCAGACCCCATCCCCGCTTCCCAGAGCACTCATCTCGCTCTTGCCTTCGCAGCCGTCGGTCTGTCCAGCTGCCCGGAGCCCCCGGTTCCTGGGAACGGCCTGAAGATCGGCGAGCGCTATTTAGTGAACGATGTCGTCTCTTTCCAGTGTGAACCAGGCTACGCCCTTCAGGTACCGAACGTTTTCCAACAAAAAGGACAAGAACAAACACCTGGGATACAGGGAGACCCTCCAAACCTTGTGTCTTGTTTTTCTCTCCTCCAGGGCCACTCTCATATTTCCTGCATGCCAGGCACTGTCCGCCGCTGGAACTACCCACCTCCGCTTTGCATCGGTAGGACTCTTGTTCTGTACCTAGCAGATATTTATAGCACTTTCCTTAAAAAAATAAAAACTAAAGGTCTGAGTTAGAGAAATGCAGGTTTGTTCTGGAAGTGTGATAGAGCGTGGAAAAATCTTCATTTGTTGCAAGGGGAAATTTGAACAAAAAAGTCCTTGTTGGCCACCCCAAATGCTTTATTTTGAATGCTTAAAACATGGTTGTAGTATAAAATGTAAAATACAAAAACAGGTTTTCTCAACAAAAATAAATTCAAAAGGGAAAACCTAAAACTTCTTTATACTGAAAGCAGATTGGGTTTATGGGTTGAGAGTTTTATTTCCATCTTAAGCAAAGATCTTAAGACTGCAGTTTATTTTTATGAAATGTGTCATATCATCACTAAAACTGCATCTTTTACTGGGGCCTGTTTACATCTCAGGATCTCTGAACGGCACCACTTGGTGCCTTGCTGTCCCTACTTTGGTGTCTGGCAGGTCCTATGTGACCAGCAAAAGCCGGGTCACTTGTCAAGGCAGCTGTTCGCCCGTGGCACCCTCTGCGGAGCAGGGCTGAGGCTGCTGAGTGTTTCAGGCCTTCGGAGAAAAGGACCGGGCAGTTGATTTCCACCGTGGAAGATGTAAGCCCTAGGAGAAAGAGGCACAGAGGTGAAGGGAACTTGCTGGAGTTCTTGGGTTATTTTCATTATTTTGCTTTTAGCAAATCTAGATGTTTAATATTCATATTGCACGTTTTACAGCTTTGAGACATTCATTTATGCATTTAATAGCTTTAGTTAACAGTTATTTCAGGCTCCTGCTGTTCTAGCTTACATCATTTTGCTTTAAAGTAATTATAAGAGCTAACAGTTTTATCCGATGATCTGCAGGCCAGGAATAAATACAGAGACATTTACAGCAGAATGACTGAGCTAAAGGGCTCATACCCAGGGGAGTTGCTCTGAAAGAAATCAGAAGCCTTTCAGCTCAGCATTAGTGTTGGGGGATCCCAGCATGGAGGAGGGATCCCAATATTATCATCTAGCTGATGACTAGCTGAGCCACTACAAGTTTCAAGTTTTCTTCTTTTAGTTGTCATAGGATTTTGCCTGGTTGGGCTGTGCCTACTAGGCACTATCACGGTGTAAACACTAGGGCAGTTTAATTCAGATTGTCTGGTTTTGGACAGTCATGACCAAGTGCAGTGGCACGAACGCCCATCCACTTGTGTTCATATCCCTCAGCTTGCATCACTCTTGACTGAAAAAGGTCATCCAGCTTCAGAGAGGCATAAACGCGTCTCTGCGGCCAAGTGCAGATCACTGTGAATGACCGTCCTCTTTTATGGGGATGCCGCAGCACCCCATGCTGACAGTCCTGAGGCTCGTTGTCCTGTGCTAATTATGCACCGATGTCTCTAAACCCTGTCCAGAGCACCGCCGGCTGCCAGCCGCACGAGAACCCAGGCTTTGGTTGTTCCCCTACTCGGAGAACAGCTTGCTTCCCTGGCGAAGCATGCTGATTTTCTTTTGGTCTACTTCATCCAGATGCTTGACTTCTAAATAATTTAGAAGTAGTTCTGTTAAAGAGCCATTAAGAGGAAAAAGAAAGAGAAATCTTCTGGGAGAAACCTTGTTGTTAGCAAGTACACATGTAACGAGGTATAGGACAAAGGGGATCTGTACCTGCGCTGCCAGAACGTGTTAGGAGTATACCTGGGTGTATTTGGCTGGATGGTATTGCCGTAGCAAGGTAGAGGTCATCCAGATAAGCATGAGAAGATGCTATCTATGCATAAATTTCATGTGATGCCTTTTGTAAACATATTTTGTGCTGTCATCTTTGAATCGCTTCTTGGTAGGGAATTTACTTCAGTCAGTGTGCAAACACGCTGTTCTATATTTATCAGTAATTGCCCAGAGATTGACAAGTATAGCAGTCAAGGTAGATCAGTTAACCAGAAAAAGAAGTAGCAGTACCTGGAGTCAAAATAAGATCAGTCTGTTTCTTCGCAGTAATTTTTTTTTAGGTGGTTAAAAATTCAAACGAGTGCTGTGTGCATGATGTGCGCTGTTACAATGTCTACGGACGGAACAGAGTGTCTGTCTCTCCTCTTGCAGCTCAGATCTGTCCCTCCCACTGTGATTGCCAAAACTGGATCTCTGGTCCAGGCTTTTATCTCCAGAGGGCAGGAGAAAGGCACATGCATTAGTAATGCGTCCATGCAGTGCCTGGCAAACTTTGTGCTAGTTCCATAGCAGGCTTTCCTTTTTGTCGTCTTAGTTTTTAATTTCTTTATTTCCCACACGGCTGGCTGGCCATGGCCATCATCCAGAGACACCTGTAAGTGATCCTGACCATTAACACTGTTGATTTTACAGCCCAATGTGGAGGAACCGCAGAAGAGTTGGAAGGAGTGCTCCTGAGCCCAGGGTTCCCAGGAAACTATCCAAGCAACCTGGACTGCACGTGGAGGATATTGCTGCCAGTGGGGTTTGGTGAGACAGCTGGTTTTGTTTTGATGCTATCACAGAAGAGATGATAGGAAGATACCGACCCTGTTCGGTCAGTGCATGGTCAGTGCTAGATGCATTGTTTGCCAAGATGAGTTACAGAAACTCTGTTGTTTGACCTCCTGATCACACTTTCCATTAAAGATGCATTTATATGGTGCTATGAAATGATATTTTTTCAACAGGTGATTACAGGTCACCGTGGAGTGTGACAGGTTGATAAGGATTTGTGGGCACGCCTCTGAATCAGCTGTAATGTCCTCCCTTAGTGTGCTTGTGTACTTCCCCGTCTTGAACTACTCACGTTTGTAAAAGCCTTAGAACATCACCAGTTGCATCAACCTTTATAAACATAACAAGTGACCAAAGCTTGTGTCGGATTATATCCTGTCTCAGCTTGAGTTCATGCAGGCATCAGCCCATTCAAAATGAGGATCTCCCCAGCCATTAGTAAGAGAGAAATTTGCACACCTCCAGCTCAGCTCTTCTCCAGGCCAGCCCCATCAGGGTGCCTAATTGCCAGGAGGTGGAAGTATTGCATGCCTGGAAGGAGTGCTGACTCTCGGGGGTTCCTGAATTCACTCTCCTCCTCCTGGTGTAGCTGCCGTGTGCTGCTGGGGAAAAGAAACACCCGGCTCAGCCTGGCCTGCCATCTGAGCTGGCTACACTCAGTTTGGCGAGGGGTGATCCTTGTAGCTCTGTGCTTGCCTTCCTAATTTCTCTGGTGTCAGGCAGAGGGAGCGGCGAGCACTCCAGCAGCATGAAACTACGGGCGTTAATAGCCTGAGCTTGTCTGAAGCTAGCAGGACCCATATACCTACAGGCACCCTCTACCTCCAACACAGTAAATGTACTCCTGCTGACTGGCCAGGCTATACTGGGCATCGCTGGGCGCTATAGCTTTTTGGGTATAGCTTTAGAGGCAGACTGTTCATTCCTCCTCTCCAGGTGCTCACATCCAGTTCCTAAACTTCTCCACTGAGCCGAACCACGACTTTGTCGAAATCCGCAACGGGCCGTACGACACCAGTAACGTCATCGGGCGGTTCAGCGGCACAGAAATCCCAGGCTCCCTCCTGTCGACATCTCATGAAACCACAGTGTACTTCCACAGCGACCACTCGCAGAACAAGCCAGGCTTCAAGCTGGAATACCAAGGTAGGGAGGCCAGCGAACAAGCAGCAGTGGGACAATCCTGTCCCTGGGTGCTAATGGTGAGGGCGGGGGAGAGAGGATAGGCGTCACGGTTGTTGCTATTTTGTTGAGTTAATTCCATCAAGACTTAATCCAAATGAGTGGAAAGGTGTTACATGAAGGCCATGCTTAATCCTAGTGACTGGGATCTGTTCACCCAGACTTATGCCTATGGCAAAAAACAAATGTTCCTAGAGTGCTTTGTGACAGTGACAGCCTTTAAATTAATTCCAGCCAGATTCCCTTACATCTTGGCTCTGTTGGCTGTCATGTGCAATGAGAAGAGTCCTCAGCAGCCATGAGTTTGCTCTGGAATTTTGCAGCTGCTTTTCAGTCTCAGCTGAAGTCCAAACGCATCCTTAGCTGCAGCCTAGCCTTGTGGTGGGGCAGGCTGGTGGAGGGAACTGGGTAAATAGCCAAATAACATAACAACGAGGCTGGCATGGATACCTGGAGTAAAAGTAGTGAAATAAGTTATTAAAATCAAAAGATGCCCTCAGTGCAGTTTTTTTGAGATGATGGGAGAATGGAGGTGCCTACCTTCTTGCCCAGCTTGAGTCCTCAGGCAGCTCCCCAGTCTTGAATGTGATGTCCTCTGAGCAGCAGTCGCCTCGGTCTCTGAAGCCAGCGAGCGAGGCCCCTGGAAGTGCTCCTCCTCTTACTGGTTTTGCTGCTCTGTGAAGGTGCTGGACTGGGGCTGCCCGTGTGAGTCTTTGCCCTGTTGAAAGGAACTTTTGGCCCTGCCTGATCCACCGCTCTACCTGGATGAGTGTCTTTGCAAAACCCCTTTGGTCTCCTCTGTCCACCTGTCCCTGGCATATGGGAATATGAAGGGACAAAGGATGCCCAGGGCAGATCGTGTACTTCGTACTGAATACAATTAGGAAGGGCTTTGCTATGCAGCAGCTGGGAGAGAGATCTGAGAAGTGGGAAGGATGGAGCATGTGTCTCCAACCATGTGATACAGCCAAGGACTGACAAAGGGCTGACTCCCCAGAAATAGCAATAAAAGCTGCTACTCATACTTAATTGAAAACATTAATTTTGTCTTGGCTGTCCTGTTCATGCACCATATAATTCATGCGCTAGTGCACAATTTAGGAAGGAATGTGCTCTGTGAGGCACTCTGGGTAATCTCATGGAAATTACTATGCAAATTAGCTCTAGCAAGGCTGACCAATAATTTATAATGCCAGGTGGAACATGTTAACCAGTTGACTCGCATTCATCATCAGGGTTGTCCATGTTTTGTTGAAAAACAAGGCAGATTTCCCAATTAGAAGTGAAGTGCGGGGTGACTCTGTGAATACAGGCTGTGAGACTCCAGCGGACCAGGGCAGACCCCAGTGCTCGTGTCTGAGGCTATCACAAAGCAGCAGCAGGATTTTCCCTCAGCCTGCATGCAGATGTGTGCATGGTTCATTAACGTTTATCTCCTTCAATTAAATCATTGTATGAGGAGGAAGTAGCCAAGCAGCGTGGTCGGTGTACTGTATGAAAATATGAAGTATGAAACATTCTTTCTTACTAGTTTTTTGGGTTTTGTTTGGGGTTGTTTTTTTTTTTCTTAGTTTTTTGGGTTTTGTTTGGGGTTTTTTTTTTTTTCAGCCTACGAGCTGCAGGAATGCCCTGACCCTGAACCTTTTGCTAATGGTGTTGTAAGAGGAGCAGGTTACAATGTTGGACAGTCCATCTCTTTTGAGTGTCTGCCTGGCTACCAGCTGATCGGCCACCCCGTCCTGACCTGTCAGCATGGCACCAACAGGAACTGGGACCACCCGTTGCCCAGGTGTGAAGGTATGGCTTTGGCGTCACCCTGAGAGCACCCAGACGGGCATTTCTGGGCAGAGAAAAGGCTTCGGCTCTCTGTTCTTGGCCTCCTTTTGAATCGTCATTTTGTAATTGTGCTGAAAGTTTCTCTGGAAACAAAAGCATCACTGGAGGCAGGCTGGGAATGCGCACTTTGAATAAAGCCTCAACCCCTGAGGTGTTGAAGCATGTTCTCAGTGAGTTGATGTTCAACATATTTCAGCCTAGTCAAAACGAACATTTTGAGCAGTTCAAAACCAAGGTGCACCTTTTGAGATGATGTGTTTGAATGTCATGCTATGGGTGAGGACTGTCTCTAGCTGTCAGTCTCACTGCTGATGCCAGTGGGAGCTGTGCTTTAAGAATGAAGCAGTCCAGGGTGATTGTAATAATTATTCTTGTCTGCTTTATTTCTTCAACAATGTTCAGCTTCCATTGATTTAGCATTGGTAAATAAAAACAGTCCCTGGTAAAAGACCCTTGCAGCTCTGGGGGCTCTTAGTGTGGGAAGATTGTGTCCCTATCTAGTCTCCTTAGCGTGGCGATGATGGCATCCCCAAAATGATCCAGATGAGAGTTCTTCAGTAACCTTGCCTGGTCTCGTTTCTGAAGACTATGTATGCTAGGAGGACCCTGCAGGCTGAAGGAGTGGATTTATGTTCTAGGCATTGAAGCTCAAATGTCCAAATTGTCTTTTCAAACCCCAATAGGGCTGTTTCAGCCTTTCATCCTTTGGGTCAATGGACTGAGTTTTGTAGGGTTTACTTTAGAAGGTTTTCATATGAACCCTTAAGAAGTTCAAGACTGCTTATTGAAGATTTCCCACTGCATTTCCCAGGAGCACTGACCTTTATCCCAGCCTCTTTACAGCACTTGGTCTGCAAGAACTGTGCACTGGGGAAAGGGAGGGGGAGGTGATATTTTTCCTTTTTTAAGTCCTTGAACCCCAGAGAACACAAAGCATAAAGAACCAAATCCTCAGCTGCTCTTTCACTGACCCCAGCAATGCAACAGAGATGAGTGTTAGCTGAGAAACTGTCCAGTGCTCAGCTGGGTGCTGCTGGTAGGGTGGGGGGCGCTGGTGGTAGCAGGATTATGCCCTTACCTACCTCAGGCATCAGCTCTGTCAGCTACAACCATCCAGTTCTTCCTTCTTTATTGTGTTTTTTAAGTAGCTTTCTTGTTCTGCAGCACTTCCGATAGCACAGAGGGGTGAGGGGTTAGGTACGTTTTGGACCGTTTGCTGTTTTTCTCCATGTGCACATCTGGTGGGCTGTTAGTGCTTGTTAAAGTCAATGCAGAACTTTCCTTTTCTAGCTGTTTCCTTAAATGGTCCTTTTTTGCATAGCAGCAAGCAGTGAGGACTTGCTGCCTTAGGCTAACCACCTCACCTTTCCCACGCAGGTCACAGCTGAAAGCCCTTTTAATTAAAAGAGAAGCTGTAATTCTAAAATAAATGCACAGAAGCCGAGGTTTCCAGCACCACTCCAGGGAGGTTTTTCCAGTGATCAGCAGGCTGCCTGCTGCTTTGCAGGGCAGAAAGGAACTTGGCCCCCAAGGTTCCTTGGGTGTTTGTTTCAGAAAATCAGCGTATGGAGTTACATAAATACACATGCTTTTCTTAGCTTGACAGACCACGTGAGTCAGCAGAGCAGAACCAGGCAGGGGATGTATGGAGCTTGGCTCTAACCTCACATCTGGAACATCAAGTCAGGGCCAGGGCGGTAGAAGTCTGTGGAGCTACTCCGGTACGAAAAAGAGTGTTCAGCACTGAGCTTGAACTAATAAATTGTGTTGGGAGGGAGAATGTGTTAGCCTAAGCCAAGGATTGCATTAATAGAGCTACGTGGCTTCTAGAACAGAGCTGGCTCAGGCAGATGACACTGTCTGCACTTATCCCTGTGCCTTCAGTTGTTGCAGGTCATCAGTAACACGCTGCAGATGTTACCATCATTTCAGCTGAACTTCCATGCCACTGAGGTCCAGAAGCTGATGCTTGTACATGGGACTTTCAAACCTAGGGACCTGCTGTGGCCCTCCTGCATTGCCTTCAGCGGGATGTCATCTTTCTCTCCCTCTTTTTTGCTGCCCAGGCTGTTTCTAATTGCCTCTCTTTAGTTTGCAAGTTCATTTGGACCTGGAAGATACCTAGTGCAATAGAACTGTCGTCTTGATTAATGAATTGGATGCTGCTGTCATACAAATCATCATTTCCCCCCTGCTCAGATGTACTCTCCGAAAAGCCAGCTGCTCGGTGGTTCTGGTCCAGGCCATGCTGTATGAACAAGTGGATAGATTTGCCCACTGGTGTGATCTTGTCAGGAGCTGTATGTTCCATGCATGAGTGCGGACAGCCGGTGGAGCCCAAAGACTCTTACTAGGGCATAAGATAGAGTTTATTTGTGCACCTGGCTATCACATCTGTACAAAACACCCTGACAGTCTCCTTCCAGCTCTGAAGCACTTAATAAATTTAGTGTAATGGAATTAAGTTGAAAATGTTAGACGTAGTTGTGACAGATATGAATTATTCAAGGCAAGCTAGGCCAAGGTTTTGGGTCTGGATCCTCCAGAATTTCTTTCTTTTTATACAAAATAAAGGAAAGAAAAATGGGAAATAGAGGATCTTTAAAAGTTATTGTTTTGGGGGATATTTCTTCATTAGGTTTGTGTTTCTGTTTGATTACCTGCAGTGCCTTGTGGGGGGAACGTCACCACCCAAAATGGTACAGTTTACTCTCCTGGCTTCCCCAACCAGTACCCCAATTCCCAGGACTGCACTTGGCTTCTCACAGTGCCGGTGGGATATGGAATCCACCTCAACTTCACCCTGCTGCAAACAGAGCCCTACAACGATTTCATCACTGTTTGGTGGGTACAGGACTGACTGGTCTGACTTAGACTGACTAAGGCTCCATTTCAGAAAGATGTTCTTGCTGATAAATAGAGCACCCATTGCCATGGTGCGTGGCTAGTGCTGTGTCTGAGTAGGAGTATCCTCTGGGGACACTGGGATGAGGATTTGGAATCTTTTAAACTCCGCTTGCTTGACAGGGCCTTGAGATTGAAGACTATGTGCTGCAAGGGGCTAGCAAATTGGACGAGGTGACTGTGTCCAAACACTCTTAATGCTACGTTCCTGAAAAATGCAGGCAGAGGGAGTGCGAGGTCAGTGAAGGGAATGATCGCTGAATGACTAGGCTGCTCGTGCCAAGTGATGGAAATATCATCCTTTGGGTCTAGAGGGGAGTCTGTACAGGAATCCTTAGCTTTCATGGTGCTTTTGCCTCGGTGTTGCGCAGCTCACAAGGACTAGTCCCACCCTTGGCCACGTAGCAGTGCCTGTAAGACCTTATAGGTCTTTCTTGCCATTAATTTCTGTGATCATCAGCAGTTAAAAATGAAGCAGGTCAGACCCCTGCAGTGCCTGGGATTAGCAGTCACTGTCCCACTGGTCTGCCACGATTACCATGAGTAGGGGCTGAGCTGCCGGGGGGGAGGCAGACCAGCATCCCAGCTGCGGCGGGAGGGTGTTCGGCAGCAGAGCCCGGCTCGTCCTGCTGGATGCTTTCATCAGCCTGTCCCTTCATCTCTGAAATGCTCTGCTGAATGGAATAAGGAAACATCTCTTGGGAAGCCTAAGGCACTTTACAGAGGAGACTTTATGAATGGTAAACGGGGTCTTTATCTCAAGCTGAATTTAGTTAAAATGAATCTTGTTTGGACTCGCATAATAGGAATTGCCTTTTGCTTCTGATTTCTCTGACAGACATTTTCTGGGACGCTTTTTTTTTTCTTTTGCACTTTATCTATGGCTACCTGTCTATGGAGAGAGGCTGAATGAAGAAAAAGCCATTGGTAAATCATTTACATTTACCAATGTCCTCTTTTGGTTTTTCTTTTGCAATCGGAGATACGCAGCCCTACAATCCCAGCTGATCTCCCAGACCGCAAAGGCAATGCTAGGATGGTGTTAGGCACCAGAGCTGGCTGTGACCCCCAGCTGCCTTTTAAATAGCAGCAACTGGGAACTGTGACCTCTGATGTAAAATGGGCGCAACTCTGCTGCGGTTAATGAAGTGGCACCGATTCCTTCGCCCCAGGAGCCTTGCAGGCTGGGATCTTCCTTTCCTATTTGGAGAAGGGAAGAGAAATGGCATATTACCAACTTCAGTCAGCCAAGGGAGCACACATAGCTGCGCTGGCTAAAGAGCTTGTGGCCAAATTCTTGAGCTCATAGCACTCAATCAACATCTGACTTTCAAAATATCTCAGTCAGCGCCTGCTGTGCAAACAGGGAGTGAAACTCCCTTGGAAAACTGGCCCTAATTCTTCAAGTTCTGAGGTTAAAAATGCAGTTCATGTTTGTAATTCTCTACTGCGTGAGCACTGCACTGCCAGAGAAAATTGTCCTGGTTATAGTGGAGCGAGGAAGGGGACTGGGGGTCCAGGTCAGCTGCCTGGGGAGCTGCTGAGGCTATATTTAGATGTAGAAAAGGGAGGACAAGGAGGGAAGAGCAGGAAGGAGTTCCTGTGCGTGCAGGGTAGGAGGTTGGTTGTTGCCTAGGATTAAAGACATGTAATAATGCTCTTTTCTTGTGTTTCTGACATGATTTTAGGGATGGTCCACAGCAAACAGCCCCACAGCTTGGTGTGTTCACTGGCAACTCTGCTAAGAAATCAGCCCAAAGCTCTTCCAATCAGGTCCTGATGAAATTCCACAGTGATGCCGCCAACGGAGGGATTTTTGCCATTTATTTTTACGGTCTGTATTGCTTACTGAGCAACACATGCTTTATACCTGCCTACAGGATGCGGAGGGGCATGGATCAGTTGTGGCTTATTGTGGAGAGGACTAGTTCTGGGGAGGAGAAGATGTGAAAAAATACACTTTTACCTGAAATCTTCCACAAAGGGCCCAGTTTTCACAGGTTTGAGATTGAAGGTCTCTTATGCAATCGAGTGCTGGCAAGTGGTCACAGTCTGTGCAGATGTGGAAATCTGTCTGTAACGTTGTGATAATTCAAGCACAGATCAAGTGCCTGCAAACTAACAGCCATGCCAACCCTCCGCCTCTCTCAAGGTGATGCCTGTAAATATTGTCCTCTCCATGGCAGATCCCATTATGGGTAGCTCCACTTTGTTTACCTAAAACTCACCTTCCCTGCAGTGTTGGCTGGATGCGGTATTGTCTTTCCAATGCTATGCTAAACCAGTTGGGTCATCTTGGTGGCCTGTTTTAAATGGCAGCTATGTTCCAGCTAAGAGGTGACTTCATTTCTCTGGGGAGAAGAAGGGTTCCTGTAAATCCCTGAATTACCTGGGGATTCCTTGGTGTGAGTGCAGTTCATGCAAGGGAGGTGATGAGTATTACATTGAAATGAGAGCATTTGCTCTCCACTGCTAAACAAGAGCCCAACTGTAAATTGAATTAGCTAACAAGTTCCTATGGCAGTACTGGGGTTTTGGAAAGTGCAAATGGAGGAGACCCCTTGCTTCAGTAATTTGCTGGCAACAACGTCAACAAAGTCTTACATGAATTACATGATGAATCTGTGCAGAATGTCTTAGCTTATACTCAGTTCCAAAAGGCAAGTATTATACGGATAGGCTGAATTTAAAGAATGTTTGCTAGGCTTCGGAGGAATTGGTTTTCTGCTGCAAAACACTGTAAGATTTATATTACTAGACAATGGTGCGTATATAACAGTTATGCAAAAAATTATGGTTTAGGCAGTTTGGCTCAGAAATGAGCAGTATGTAAACACTGCTGCAGTTCAGCAAATGCTTCCTTTTGTAATATGAATTAGATACTATCATTGCTATGGTTAGAGCCCATCAGCATATGTTGCTGTTCTCTGATCTTGATAGCACTTTATACTGATGTTTTTTTAGCTCGTGGTTTATGTGGGGTATAAAGCCACTCGCAGGCATGAGAGGTCTTGGGTTGGTGCTGGCAGGAATTGGTGCAGGCCAGCAGTCATTTATAACCTGTTAACTAGCTGGGCACTCTGGCAACTGCTTGGCCTTTTATTAGTGTCATTTACTGGCTTATTGCTCCCTTTATACATGGGACTTTAGTATAAAGCCTAACCCCAAAGATGTAAGTGATCGAGGTGGTTACCTCCAGGGTGAGATTCTTCCCCCTTTCCCAGGCTCTCGTTCTGCGTGTGGTGCCTTGCACACCGAGAAAGGTGCAGGAGAAAGGGGGGAAGTTTTCACACCAGGCTCAGGCAGTGCAGTCAGTTAAATCTTTGGCATCGCCCTTTGGGGTGTAACTACAGGAAATGCAGTTTCCTCGGGATCTACAGCAATGTATGTTTTCATTTCTGCTCTGCATGCTGGCAGATCTAGGACATAGGAGACGTCCTCCTTCAGCTTTAAATTGTCTTTTCTCATACAGTGATGATCAGCGCCGTGCCAGAGAACCATTGCCCTTTTAAATGCCTGCAAAGAAACGTTTCCTTAGGGTGGAGGAAGGGAAACAAAAGGATGATTCACAGAGCTTAAAGATTCAATAGCATCCCTTGAAAAATGATGATGGTGCACCTATTATTAAATGGGTTAGTTCAGGTGCCAGCACAAACTGATGTGTGAACGTGATGGGAAAGGGTTTTATGGCACGGTAACTCAGGGGAGTCCCAGTGTGGTTTCAAGGACGGGACTCTGTTTTGTCCTGGTGAGAACAAATGGACGTTCTGTTGAAAGGAGCTTTACCGGTGCTGTATCACCATATGCTGAAGCCATCTTAATCACATCTCTGTATTGAAATATGGCCCATTAAGGAGAGGAGATTAATGCTGTAAATGCTGGGTTATCTTTCCACTTCGATAGATGCTGTCAAGCACGTTTTAAATAGCATTTAATTTAAGTTTTTGTTACAGTTTCCTTTCCTTCTTCCCTCGCTGTCAAACATCTGTTTAAAAGATTGCAAATAAGCGTCTTCCCTCCTGGGATGGCTCTTTGCTGTGTAGCAGAAGGGTTCTCCCCTGCTGCCTCCCGTCTCCCGCTCCTCTCCCATCCCACGTGCGGGCTCTCCCGGCACCTTTGCTCATCCATTCTCTGTGCTGCTGTGGTGGATTGCAAAGGTGCTGGCTGTCCGAATTACAGAGCTGGCTCCTTTGATCCCCCCCTGGGTTGAGTTTAGCTCACTGTAGTAGCATGTGTTTGTTTTTTCCTCCCCCTTGCACACATGGGATACGTAAGCCTGTCCCTCGTGTTAACCAGAAGCCCCTGCATTCCCTCCAGCCCATTCCCCGGACCTCCAAACGTCACGTTTTTCCACACCCCTTTTGGGAAAGTAGTATCCTACCCTGGGTTAGGAGGTAAGGAAATTTGGGCAAGACGATGGGGCATCTACTTCTGTACGTGTGTACTTAAGCATCACTATAAACCTCATTAAGGTTGCTGCCAGGACTGCCAGCCTTGCTGGCAGTTCAACATCGTGGAGTTAGTAAGAATTAATGTTCAGTGGCAGCTTGAGCTGCAGTGTCTTAAATTAAAGGGCTGCTATAAATTTAAGAGGAAGTTACGCTTGTCCAGGGTCAGGTGCAGGGGGAGCAAAGATGCAGAGAAGTGCTGAGCAAATAGCAGAAAATGTCTTTCATTAATATTCATTTAGTTCCCAGTACCATATTTTCAATTTAACCGTGCTCACAGCTCTTGTGTGTTTATTTTCATAAGAGGCACAGTGCTCAAGCCTTATGCACCCACGTGTTTGTAAGCAGTGCATTTGTTTTGCTTGGTGTTAGCTGATCTTTAATTTTTGGTGGAAAATTTGCTATTTGCAATGTATTTGGTCAGGTGTGTGAGCCATAAGGAATTGTTTCTGCTCATCAACTGGATTTTCTTCCCTTTTAGCGATGTGGTATCCCTGAAAAAGCACGTAATTGGGCAAAGAGTACCAGGTCTGCCCTGTTTTGCCTTCTGTGAGGCCCTGACATCAACCTTGCGTAGGTTACTTTGTGAACTGCAAGCTACATATAGGATTTGCAGTTGAAAACATTAGCAATCCTGGAATTATTTGCAGAAAAAATTAATTAATAATTCCAAGTTACAAGTAAATTAGTGAGTTCTGCGATCTCTGTTCAAAGACAGGCAGTAAGGATGAAATTCTCTGAGTAATTATTGTCATTTACTTGGTGCTGGAGCAGTCTGAGACTCTCCCTCACGTGTGATTGACCTAATTCCACTGAGGTCACCAAGATGATCTCTCTTAGTATCCCAGAAGGTGCCGGTAACGTTGCCTCACGTCCGCATCCGTCAGTCATCCTTCAGTCTTCACCCAAAAGACTGACACTGCCGGGCACCTGCATCTCCACAGACTGACAAAAAACTGTTTCCTATTAGGTGTAAGAAACTGGAGGAAGCTGCTTTGGGGCACAAATACCTGGAGCCATCTCTGTAGGGTTTGGAGGGGGAAAGGGCTGTGGTTGCACTTTTGCCAATTCCTTCTGCTTGCGGAGAGGGAGGATTTGCTCTGATGTCTGTTGTGCTTAGCACCAAGACGGCCGTGGCTGCCTTCACCCCCAGCTTAACATCTGCTACTCTTCCTTTGCTCTTTCAGCCTACCAGCTCTTCAGATGTCAGCCTCCGACCATCGTTCCCAACGCAGAAATCATCACTGAGAATGAAGAATTTAACATAGGTAGCCTCTCCCGGTCCTCTTGGCCCTCCTTCCAGCCCGGCCCACACCCCCCCGCCCCCCGTGCTGGGAATGCCTGCAGGAAGACACACGTGTGTTGTCACCCCATATCTGGAGCTTCAGGAGACCTCTTCACATGTGTAATTGCGTGTGGCATGGGGAGCTGTGCGTGACCTTGCTCAACACCCAGCGTTCACAGGGAGTCAAACTGACCCAATTGTCCCAAGGCTTTTCCTCTCTGTTAATACAGAAGAAGTGGTTTGGCTTTTGTGAAAGCCCCGAGCTTGTTTGGAAACATTCAGAAATCTTTGCCACAATAATAGTTTTCAGGTGTTTCAAACAAAGCATTGTGTGAAAGCTTAGAGGCCGTTATTCTTTTTTCTGAGAACCTTTTGCCCATATTGACTGTGCTTTTTGTATTTTTTGCTGCTGTTCACGGTTACGTCCACATTTTAAAGCATGTCTGCAACCAGTGAAGTAGCTGTGATTTTTTTTTTTTTTTTTTTTTTTTTTAAAGCAGCTTTTCTCACTGTCTGCTGTCTTTGAGGGAAGTCTCCACCTGAAATAGCTTGCACAAATCCTGTGGCATGACAGCAGTTTATCCCAACTGAGACTCCGGCATGCCTTTCTTTTTTTTTTAAGCAGCTTTTCTCACTGTCTGCTGTCTTTGAGGGAAGTCTCCACCTGAAATAGCTTGCACAAATCCTGTGGCATGACAGCAGTTTATCCCAACTGAGACTCCGGCATGCCTTTCTATGCCTTTTATTTCTGCACGGTCATGCCAGAGCTCAATAGCAGAGGTCGAGAGGTCTCTGCACCCCATGGTACCCTGTTCCCAGGCCATGGTTCGGCCATAATGAATTGATCCTTCTCTTGAGTCAAGGTGTTTTCTGTTTCTGTCTGTAGGTGACATAGTGAGGTACAGATGCCTTCCTGGCTTTACCCTGATTGGAAATGAAATCCTGACCTGCAAATTAGGCACTCATCTCCAGTTTGAAGGACCTCCACCCATGTGTGAAGGTAAAGCCGGGGGTGCCCAACGTGGCAGCCAAAGCTTCCCTACCCAGAGACTGCTGCAAAATGTGGGGGCTTGCTAAGGGAGGGAGCAAGCTCGATGGCAGCTGGGGGAGGTTTCCTTGCACATACTGCATCTTTGGGGTTAATTCTCAGATCTCCAGGATCCCAGTAGTGCAGAACCACCCATCAAGACCTTGTGAGGAGGGTAGCGAGACACCTCTGTGCAGGGAAAAGGCTGTTCTCCTGACCCACCTCGCAGCCTGTCCCGGGGCCAAGCACCTTGGCTAGGCTCAAGCAACAACGAGCAAATAATGGTGAAAGATTTGCTGGGTGACTTATTGCAGCCACCCTCTGATAAATGATAGGGAAAGTTCCTCCACCCCCTGCTGGGTCCGGGGAATTTGCTGGGTCTCCGCCCCTCTTCCGAGGGGGTTTGCCTCACATTGGGTACCCCTGGATTATACCCTAAGCCCCCGGTTCAGGAAGGCACTTTAAGCTTGTACTTTCCTGAACAGGGACTGAGCAGAGGTCTGACATGCTGTGTGTCTGACTGCATTCACGAAGTCATTAAAACAGTCACCCAAATGTCCTTACCCTGGGAGGGGGGGAGGAATTCTGCGCTGATGGTTTGCTAGTGATACATGAACAGCCAAAGGAAGAGCAGGCTGCAGTGAAGTGAGCTCCTCCGGCGAGGCAATCCTGCGAGGAACAGCTTCTCTATTAGTGCCACAGAATGTATTACATGGGAGAAAAATGAAAGCCCCAAGCACGCTGCGTTTGTACACCTTGCTGCTGCTCAGGAGGGATCCCAAAGATGTTTCCGTGTTACCTTATTTATCCTCTGGATTCCTGCTGGTACTTTTGTTCACTCCAGCCGTGATTATTTCATCTCCTTCATTCCCTCCTATCTGAACATTTTTACCATATAATGGGATATTTTTCTATGGCTTTATTCTCTCTAAAATAGCATGAACTGAAGGAGAGGAAGGGAGGTCATTCAATTATTTACTGATGGTTGTTAGCCTGGGGGTAAAGGGACTGCTTAAATTACATCTGGCCACCAATTTATAGAGGTCAAAAAATCACTGATGGGATTAAGGATTTGGAAAGAATACACTGTTCTTTCTGGATAGTTCTGGCTGTTTTCTGTTAATACAAGTACAGTGTTTGCACTGGCTTTTAGTGACAATTATGGATAAATAAAGGACCCTTTCTTTTTAATGCTTCTTGCTCACTTTGTGTGTTTGCCTCCTCTTCTGGGGTGTTTTTGCTGGCCTTTTTATGTAGTGCTTTTAGCTGGATTTAATATTTCCAGAAGCTGAATGGGCTGTACTGATTAGAGAAAGGAATTGGAGTTCTTATGTCCTACTTAACAACTCCGTGGGTGACCTGGGATAAGCCTGTAGTTCCACACCTTGTTCTAACCCAGGTAATAAAGTTCCCAGGGATTCCCGGGGAGTGTTTTGTAACTTGAGAATAGTTGCTTGGTTGCAGCGCCATTAATTTTGAAAGAGATGTGAAATAATGCAAAGACGGTTGAAGCTGTTTGTATTGTTGCTTTTTGCCCCTTCCTTTAAATGTGGCAATTGCTCAGATTTGTGGAAACGCAGCATGCTTCATTTGGAGCCTACATCAGGGTTTAGGGATTCTCTGTGAGCCCCAAGAGTCAAGACGTGCAGTGGATGTATGTGGGTGGGAGTTGTGCTCTATCTCAACCTAGCTCGTCAAGACAGACCTTTTTGGCCATAGTCTCTTGTGTTTCCTTCCTTCCTCTGCAAAATAGGAAAATTCATTTGCTATTGTCTCTCCTTCACATTCCCTGCAGTGCACTGTCCGATGAACGAGGTTATGACGGACTCCACCGGTGTGATCCTCAGCCAAAGCTTCCTGGGAAGTTACCCTCACTTTCAGACCTGTTCTTGGGTGGTGAAGGTAGAGCCTGGATATAACATCTCCCTCACCATCGAGTACTTCCTGAGCGAGAAGCAATATGATGAGTTTGAAATCTTTGACGGTAAGGGATTCACCAGTTTGACTTGCATAGCAACTGAGGGGGAAGGAAAGAAAGAGCAGAGTTTCGTTAGCTGTTAATCTCTGTTCCCAGAGCACTCTGGGGAGAGCTTTCCACCACTATGCCTATAACCTTCTGCTGGACTTAAAGAAAGCTCCTCCTAAGACTCATTGATTCTCTGGGTAAGAAAATATCAATGATTTGATTTTTGGATGACTCTGAAGTATTTTTCCAAGGGGCAGGAGTTAGCAAGCTCCTGGGAGAAATTGTAGCGGAGGTTGCTGGGAAGGGACGAGCTGAGAAGGTGGGACTTCTCATCCCTGAAGCCCACGCAGACCAGATTTTCTAGGCCCATGAGTTCTCATGAACTGAGAGGGGATCTGTCAGTATTCACAACGATGCAGCTTTGTAACCAAACGCAGAATACAAGTGCTGTGCTGATGCTCCTGTGGTTTCCCGTCGGGACTTGAGCCGAAGGCACACTGCTTGGAGCAAAATCCTGGCCTTACTGCGATCAGCTGGGCTTTATTTCCCAGGAGCCAGGTGTCTGCACCAGGACTCATGTTCACAAAAACCCCTGAGCACAAGCTGCCATTGCTGGACTCATGGTGAAAGCTCCTGTGCTACAGTTCCACAACGTGCCTGTTCCTTCTGCAGAAACACCCTGGCACATAAGGCCCACGAGTGACCGTTTGTGTGTGCCAGCCCTGACTTTTCCTCGTTCCCTCTGTCCTTACAGGTCCCTCTGGCCAAAGTCCACTGCTCCTGTCGCTGAGTGGGAACTACTCTGCCCCTCTGACCGTCACCAGCAGCGGGAACAAAGTCTATCTCCGTTGGTCCTCTGATCATGCCTACAACAGAAAAGGCTTCAAAATCCGCTACTCTGGTAAGCACACAGCAGAGACTAGATACCTCTGCCAAGAACGTGGCCATCTCTTCAGCCAAGGATCTCCACGAAATTGCTGCAGTGGGGCATAGGCCATCTGTGTTGGCAGAAGCTGCCAAGGCCTGGGAAGGGCGCACAAAGCTGGGTTCGTTCTGAGCTGGTGAGGCTGGGGGAAGGCAGGTTTCTTTCCAGGAGAAACCTTGAAGCTTTGGCTGGTTTCTCAACCATTCTTAAGAATCAGAACCAGAATATATAACCATGGACGACGTGGCTCTGGATGAATGAAACCCATCCCATGCAATTCACAGTAAAGACTGCTGTGTTACCAAGTTATTGTGTCCTTGCAGTGAGGCCATTTTGAGATGTTTGAAGATGAACATCACAAAAGAGAAGAACTTGTGTTAGGAGCTGCTTGGTGCATGAGGCACAACTTACACGTGACCGATCGTGTTACAGCGTTTGCAGTGAACTGTTTAAAACACGTTGTGCTCCTACTCAGGCGTTCTGCCTCTACTCTCGCAGGAGCGGGACTGGGGAGTCTTGGTTGCTTATTCAGCACAAAACCGCTGCTGGATACTGAATGTTTGCTGAGAATTCCTTAAAATGAATTACTGTGTTTTGGGACTTAGCAAATCTTAATTAATGGAAGTTATAAAACTGGGTTGAGAACTTGCCAGTATGTCATAAATAAATAATGACTTTACTCAGTAAATTAATTAAGTAATATTTAATTATCAGAAATTAGTCTTTATTTCTAGAGCTGAGTGAAACTTGGACAGTAGCCCTGCACTCTTTCCTCCTTTGACTTTGTATTTATCCATCACAAGTTCTCTGTTTCTTGTACAGCCGTAGGTTATGGTAAGCACGGTGTAATTCCTGAGAACAGGAAGGGAATTTGTCTTGATACTGCACGTTCAGTGATTGATTTATTTTCTTCTGCCCTTCTCTCCAGCTCCTTACTGTAGCCTCCCGCAACCGCCAGCCCATGGGCTGATTCTCAGCCAGACGGGTCTGCACCCTGGCAGCACAGTCCGCTTTGGCTGTGACACAGGCTACCGTCTTGTTGGCCACAGCACCACCACCTGCTCCCAGCACCCTCAGGGCTACTTCCACTGGAACGAAGCGATCCCTCTGTGCCAAGGTGAGAGCAGGCAAACCTATCGTTACGAGGATCCGGGAGTCCTAGGAAGGACTGAGGAAAACGCGGTAAAAATAAAAACCTATTGTAATTCCCCCAAATCCCTGTTGAGAACAGGCTTGGAGCTGCAGGTAGGCAGTGAGGGGTGCTCCTCTTATATCCAAGTCCTTGGGAATAGATGAGTGAGGAGGGAAGGGAGTAACTGTTGGGGAGCGTTCGCGATAGGGAAGAAAAAAAGGATCTGTGTAAAGGCCACAGCTGTAGAAGTGTTTGAACTCTCAGTAAAGACACAGCCAAGCCTCAGTTAAGGACGGGAGAAGCTATTGCCTGGAAGAATCTGGAAAGGCTGGCAGGAGTACGGCTCCCGCTGGGTTTTAGTGACTGGAATTTCTTTTGGTATTTCTGGAAGTGCTCTCTTAGGTCTTCGTGTGTCAACGGGGCATGAGAGTTCTCTAGCTATCAGGTGGTGCCCAGTTTCTCTTGGCTTCATATAAGATTTAGGCATGTAGTTGTTCTTTCCACATTTCCTCCTAATTAATCATAATCTTTATGACATATTATACTTAGCGTGGGGCTCCTTCCAGGCGTGGGAGTGGAGGGGAGGACAGGGCAGTGTGCCCCAGGGGGCTTTGCTTCTGCGCTATTTTGTCTCCCTCACTGTGCTCACTTTCTGATTGCACCTTCTTCTCAATCCGCCAATCATCCCTGTTCCTTTGTGTTGATAAAATGCCCATCTTTATTCTAATGAAGCCTTTCAGCGTCTTTGAACATTCACCCATGTTCCAAAGAGACCGAGCACTGGGGATTAATATTGCATTGACTTCCCTGGAAAGTAGCCAGAGAACAGAGACAGCATAGGCAAAATCTCATTGTGGTGCCTGCATTGTTGTCCAGTCCAAGCCGCAAGGAAAAGCAGGATGGTTTAGTGTGGGAGGGACCAAAGAGCCTTGAAAAAAATCCTTTCTGTGCTCCTGAATCACTTAGTCTCTTTGGAAATTGCACAGGGATGCAAGCAGTCCTGCTTCTAAAGGGTGGGTTTGTGCTGTGGGAGCCCTCTCAAGGCTGTATTTATTTAAAGGTGAGTGGAAAGCAGTAAACCAAGACCCTGCCACCCAGTCCCATTGGCAAGGGGGAGCTGGGAAACTGGGCACAAGCTCAGATAGTGATTTAGCCTCCGCGATAATGCAGATGGGGGCAAACGCCGGGTGCTGGAACCGCGCAGCAAGACTGGCAGGCACGAGGGGCTGTCATGGCAACTGTGCCTCCTGAATCCTTAGCCCAGCGTAAGGAATTCTCTGATGTACCGCGTCTTTTTTAAGGAAAATCACGTAATCAAGAATAGGTACGAATGCTGCTAAGTCTTTATTGCCCTGGTGTGCTGGAATGCCACCTGAGCCTTGTGTTCAGCTCCAAAATCTATATTTATTTCCAAGAGGTGTAATGGTGTGTGGGGAATGGATTTTAAACACGGAGGTGGGGAGGAGATAGAGGATGTGTGGGGAGGTTGGGAGAGGATGTACTCGGATGAGGTATCACCTGACAGCAATGATTCACAGTAGGAACGAGTCCCTGAGCACCAGTTCCCAGGCCACCGGGGAGGGAGTCAGAGCCAGACCATCCGTGGCTTGTCACTACCTGGCCTGGAAGTGCTGGGGGGGCTCCTGTGGTGTTGCTGAGCACCCCAGGTCTGCGCCATGGGATAGAGGGGTGTGGGAAGAGGATTTCCCATGGAAGCTGCATGAGAAGCACTAAACCCACCCCGCGCTGTTCTGGTTCAGCTGAACACGTGACATGTCAGGAGCTCCATGGGCACAACCCGTGGTGCCCACTCCACGGCAGTCACCAACAGAGAAAGAATTTGGGGGCTAATTCATAGCATTTTAGGTAGGCTCCTGCTCCCATTTCCCCTTTGCAGGAGTGTGTGTGTCCCCACTGACCACACAGGAGAGCACTTGGTCAGGATCTTGGTGCTGGATGTCCCTTTGGAAGAGCGTGTCTCTCTCTGGCGAGGAAGAGAGTTTGCTGGTCATGTTAGATTCTGAGGTTGAAATAGCCCCTTTGGGAAAGTCACCTCCTCTCTCTGTTTCCCCGTATTTACATCAGGGATCTTAATACTGGCCCATGGTTATCAAGTGCCTTGAGATGGATGCAGGAGGACAGTGAGTGGCAGCGAGCTGGAGCTGTAGGAGAATTCATGGCAGAGCAGCTCCCCCCCCCGGCCTCGAGCAGCTGATAGCCAGGGCTGGCTCTGCTCTTCTTGCCTGCTTCAGCTACATAAAATCCAACATCCTTTTTTTTTTTTCTTCCCCCCCCCTCCA